TTTTTTAATTTCTCACATTATTATCACTTTACTAATAACAGACGGCATAGTTTCTCGTATTAGTAGTGAAGGTTCCTACTTGAATGTCCCCTTTAAAATAATTATCAGGTATACGGATGGAGGAATTTGACTCTCTTCCATAGGGATGACGTTCTATTATTCCTGCAGCTCATTTTACATTTGTGAAACCTTGCATGTAGATTGTACGGGTAGTTACATATCAAGACTGAAATGCCCGATCGTAGCTTATCTCACCCTTGACCAAAAAATGAAAATCACTATCCCCATTACTAGGAATTTACAATTTCAAAATATCAATTGAACCCAGCTGGAGGATTCTCGTTATTTAATATTAAATGGAAATTTTTTTCCTTTCCTGTAGATAGACCCACACATTCACTATTATAAATAGTTCAATATACTGCTATGTGCCCCACGTTGGACGCCAAATAAGAAATGAAAATGTGCAATGGCAAACCGTCACTAAGCCACCCACAAGACACCTGTCCAGCTAATTCAATTAAGTACAGGTAATATCAAAACCTTTAAAAGAAAGAATTAAAAGTTTTCTAAGGCACGTACAGCCTCCATTCATTAATTAACCAATTTTTAATTGACACCTGATGGAATTCTAGGTACGATATAGAACATAAAAACTCGATTAATAACAAAATAAATCAATTACAGATGAAACAAATTTATTTGACATAAAACAATCAGACTGAAAGAAAAACAGGCACTCAGGGACAACAAACACGTACCACGCAAACCTGCGATCGATAGACAAATTAAGTAAAACAAATCTTAATTACCTTAAAGTGTCAATAATCCAAAATCTCCGGTCAATTGGTCAAACGAACAGTAACAACACAAACACCAAACTAACGCTGCTTCACAAACTATACTTCTTTACCTTCATTTGAATCTTGATTGAATACTGAAGGTGCGTTTACTAATTCGAATGGCATCCAGTGTCAATCGAATTCTTAGCTACCGCAACCTGTTGAAAAAGAATTGTGCAACTTTGAAATCAATTAATAAAGGGTACTTATATCCTTAACGGTTTTGCCATTTAAAGCTCTGTAATCGACACATATTCGTGATTCTACAATACCGAACGAATTGGGCTTGCATACTGTGACGAATAATCGCCTATACACATATTTATAGCGGAAAACCTCTACTTTTTCGTGAAAAATAGGTCATAATTTACAAAAGATGGTAATAGAATATCAGTATTTCAACGAAACAAATACAAAGTTCTTTTTGCATTTTTGCCATTAGTGTATTTGCAAAACATTATATTTTTCAAAACTTAATGATGCTTTAGATCTTGTATAATGATTTTTTTTCCACTAACTTCACGATAAAATATGAATGCTAAAACAAATTTAAATGAATTTTTAATTTCGCAATTATTTATGTATGTTAATTATATAAAGTTGAATAGAGCTTTCGTAACGCAAACAAACACTTTTCGAAGAGGTATTCTTATAAACAGACCTTAAAGGCACAAAAAGTTTTATCCGAGAGCTATCCACGAAGTTATCTAAACATTTCTCAAACTATAGAGAGGTTATTTCACAAATACAACGGCGATATGCGCCTTGTTAGCAAAGTTTTAGCTTTTTGTAACGATCGAGCTGTCGTTTTTTGTCAAACATTTAGTAAAAGTTGTAAATGGGGCTATTTTGTTCTTATACCAGTTCCAAGATTCATTTACATTTAGATCTATCGAATTTTAATTTCTAACTCTACACAAGAGGATCGACAACAATTTAAGTACATCTTTGGTACCGATATATGGATTTCGTAGGATATACAGTGGTGGATTAAACCCTTAGGAGGCCCTAATCACAACGCCATATTGAGACCTCTTCTCTAATCAAATTTTTTTTTGATGATGCTATAGCCACATATAGACAACGTTATGTTTCGGAGAAATCATCATCAACTTTATTTTTTATATGGCCCGAAAGTAGTAGTAGCATATTTTGGGACGAATACAACGATATACGGGACAAAAAAAACAAATGTTTGAATCTGTTGGTTTCAACAGGATGGTGCACCCGCGCACAACGCCCTAATCGTGTGAGAATACCTATCGGAGAAATTTTTTTATTTTCCAAGAAAATTGTCTGATGGTTATTCTCACCCGATTAGCAGCATTGTGCGCTGGTGCACCATCCTGTTGAAACCAACAGTTTCCAACTTTTTTTTTGTGTGCCGCATATCGTTGTTTTGGTTATAAAGTATGCTACTCAATACAGTATGTACTTTTTTATGGGTGTTTTTTATATTTTTTTTCCATCTATTCAACCATCAGAAAAAAAACGAAATCGGTAAATTTCGGTTTTTCTGGTATATTTTCGGAAGTAATCGGAATTTTCTAGTTTTGTTTAAACAATGGTAATAACTCTTTAATTGCGCATATTTATCTAATTTGACCATCGTCGTAAGTTCTATGGTTTCGAGGATCCTCATGATAGACATCCTTATCTTGAGCACACTGTATAATGCATAACCTTAAAAACTCCTTAAATTCCCATCTCTACCACAGATGAAATATTCTAACCTCAGCCCAGGTTCGAACACCCGATCACCGGCTATGTAGCCCAACGCTCTACCACCGGCCTACACCGTCGTTGGTTCGATGGTTCGATGTATGACATTCTTCTTGCAAACTTATTTCTTTCGCTATAGTACGTTTAGATCTACCTTCCGTACTTTTACTTCCCAGGCTAAGTCAGAGGATTTTACTGATAATCTCATTAATAATCAAAATTTAAGTATATTTAGATAGATTACGCAACTTCAATGATAGCGTGCTTCTAGAGCATCCTTTTTACTCCCATTGTAAGGAATTATTAATGTTATGAAAATTACAAGAGGTTATCTCAAACTGAATACATTTATTATGATAAATGAAATGAAACAAATTCTTACAGTGGCCCTAAAAAACAAAAGCCTATTTCCTTACTAAACTCCAATATACTTACTGGCCAAATAATTCAATTTATTTTTGTAAAGAATAAAAGAAGTAATGCTTAATAAGCATTTCTAAATTATTAAATAAAGCGCGAAGAAGTTTTACGCGATTTAATCTAATTCACTGATAATTCACACAAAACGGAAATAGTGAAGATCTGTGACTTATTGCCTTGGAATGCCGCCGGACGTACTTATCTTGGCTAGGACGCCTACAGATGGGTGTCGGGAGTCGATGTCCCGCGCTGCTTGCGGATTCAAACGCATCGAGCATAGCTCCAATGATTGTTTTTTTCGTAAACAATAGCAACGGTTAACTAGCCAGCTCAAAATAACAACGCGAAGCAGTCTATAAAATAATGAGCTGCTCATTTGGATGACCATTAATAAATGGAAAGCTTTCGATTTATGGTGAAACTCGAAATAGCTGTGCGTTAGTTAACCTAGCATGATTTTGCGTGATAAATGAACACGTTAACGATACAATATGAATTTTTATATAATAACTGAATGTCCTCTAAATTAGGAGCAAAAAATCATAGCGCCCGTTACAAAACCTGCCACCAGCATCGACTCCGGCCAAAATATTGGAACACTTGCTTTTCTTTCCGACTCATTCGCGAATCCAATCCCCTACTCTACTACATCACTGCTTTCTTCTCTTGGGCGATGAATTGGCGATATTGATTACAACTTCATTCATTGCCCGTTGTTGCACAAAGTCAATGAGGAAAAAGGAAAAGGTTGAAAGAACCTTACCAGTTGACAATCAAATCTTGGCTTTCGTTCGTTGTCTCTCTCTTCATCCGTCGCTTCATATAGAGTTGATTTGACTCGAGAAATTCAACGTTTTGGGTTTATATGAGGAAAAGTGGTGCCTTTTGGTAACAGCTATATTTGAAATTGGTCTCGCTTTTTCATACATCTGCCGCTACTGGCTGCACTCCAGCAAAATTACGACGGCAAGCGACACCACGCGTTACAATGAAAAGCCATATTCATTTTAATTAGCTATACGTCCAAAATCAATATAACGTTGATTTCATAAGTATCTGTTGCAATTAAGCTTCTAAAAAAAGCAAAACTTACGGTAACTTAGTAACGGCGGCGACAACACTTATTCCGCATGATCTTTATTTACAGAACGGTTCTCATTTTGTAACGAAATGTGTCCGCTAAAAGAGAGTGCACTTTAGTAAATAAATCATTTGTAGAAAAATGAGACAGATCCAGAAAGTCAAAGAGATGAACGTTGATCTCTTATCATTTATGAAAAAAACTGCATTGAGCTTTATAGCTCAGTGGTGGAAGCGTTGGGGTATAAATCCGGAGGTCGGGTGTTCGAACCTGGTTTGAGGTGAATTTTTCATCTGTGGCAGAGATGGGATTTTCCTTAGATCAGTTTCGAGCATTCTGCCGGCTACTCCGAATTAGGTTTTCCTGCAGTTTTCCTAATTCGTAAGGTAAATACCGGAGTAGTATAGAACAACTTATTGGGCAATTGGGGCAATAAATAAATAAATAAATAAATAAATAAACAAAATCACCAAAACGGTTATTTGAAATGTTCTTACAATATTCACAATGGAAATAATACATATCTTAAATGAACGCGTATAAATCTTTACGCAAGATTAAAATGAAGGGCTGAATAAGCTGGGCCCGTATCCAGGCAAACCGCCGGAAATGCATATAGACGCTAATGCAGCACCCGCGCAGTTTTTCCGGTAGTTGAGGTCCCGGAAAGGGTTTTTTTTACTAGTTGTTTTCGTGCACTGATACTCGGAGGAGTGTATCAAGTGCAGCTGAACCAATTATCAGTAACGTATCTCAAAATGTGAGCATATGAGTCTTCGTTATATTTATTAACACTTTCTCCGCTTGACCTGGTCGATTAAGAATTGATGGTCTACGGTGCCTTTCTTGACTGCCTCCATTTGCTACGGTTATGCATAACGAACGTTGTTCTGTCGTCTAATTTTTCCCCATAACGTTGATTATAAATGTTCCAGATGGATTGGTCGTGATGGAGTGCTTGGAACCAATAACCGGTCGGCCCACCGGACAGTTAACCTTAGATTATTTAACCGACACGGTCGTCAGCAGCAAACCAAGTCTGCCAGGTGTACCTTACATATCGTCCGACTCTCGCAAGTTAGTTACACTGGATCGAACCGAAAAGGGCACAACGCTAATCGTGCAAGAAGTTACACGTAAGTGGACACGCCGTTCGTCAGCGAATAACCGACATTAATTTCAGCGACCGGTCTTTCGTTTGCCTTCGACGTTAAAACGACGCTTAACATTTCCGGTTTGACATTCTACCCCAGCCAGACAACGCACAGTTATGATATTTACGCGAGCGCAAACGATAAGGAGGATATTTTATTTCTGAACTTGTTAACAGGTTTGTGTAACAATTTGGTTGACGACGTCCGAATAATTAGATCTTCCAGGTAAAGTAGAAATCATAACCGGGGTCGGTAAGGCCATCGCTCCCCAGTTAGCTAAATGGGGAAATCCAGTGAGACTCATCAAGGGATCGGGTACGATGATTCATAGTACAACACCGGGACTATCCTGTTTTTTTCCAGGTCTGTTTGGGCAGTACATGGTAACGCCGGCCAATGAGGCGCTATTTGTAATAAACGGAAGATCAAGAACAATAAATTGTGAAATAGGTGCAGTTGTACATCCAAGCGCTGTAGTATGGACTGTATTAAAATACCACTAGAATAAGGGACATATACCGTTACTTTTAAACTTTTGTATAAAATCATTAAGAAATAATTTATTTTCAATATCTATACATATATAAATAACGGAAAGTGCTGCAAGACATGTAGAAAATGGAAATTGTTGTCACCTCACTGACCTCATGTAGATAAAAGTGAACATAACACACTCACACTAATCACTGACCCATGTACGCGTAACTAAGGGTGCGTTTTGTAAAATCTGTCCAAATAATCGGTGATTTATAAATCTGAACTGAATATTTTAATAAAACAAGTTGTTTTAGTAATAAATGTAGTCTTGTGATAAATTGAAAATTTTATAAAAGTATTAAAAAAACATAATTTACAGTATTTTCACCTGAAACGGTTTGGGCATTTTAAAAAAAAATAGAAAGATGTCCGCAACTGGTGTTTAATTGTTAAAAATCAAATGATAGTAACTATTTTATTATTTAATGTAAAGTAATCACGTTTCCTCTAGTCATCACTTAGATTTAGTTTCAATGAAAAAAAAACTAATTTAGCTTTTAGCCTATCGCCCTAATTGTAGTATAACCAAAAACCTTATGTAAATTTGGTACCTACTTACCTACATACATCGCTAGCTTTTCTCTATATAATGCCTTTAAAAAGAAGCTTTGAAGAATGTATATTATTTGTTGTATACTATAACAGAAATAATGCTTTCTGTATAGATATGGTGGTGCAAAGTTGTTTTTACAGAAGTATAAATAATTATATTTAAAGAGTGTTCTATACTTATTTCTATACTTATTCCAATACCATAAGCTGCTCTTTCTAACAGTTACAGTACAAAATGCGTTAAAATGTAATTATTGCAAATAAAAGATTCGTTTATTAACTCCATAATTCAAAATCCCTTTGCTTTCTGAATCGATTAATTTTTTGCCATCCGACCTTACCTACCAGCTTTTCGCGGTTAAAATAATACTACTTATTCAGAAAAAGAATTTTTCAGATGTTACAGAGTGTTTCGAAATTCGCGCACACGGACTGTGGGATGGTGTTATACAACGAAAACTGAATAAAAAGTTCTTCTACCAGTATTTGATCAGACCGGCACTTTTTTTTCGACGTGCTGAAGCTTGTTTACTAGCAGACGGCGGACATTTTGAACAACTGTTGTAATTACGTACTCGTCATAATTATAGTTTATTTTGAACCTTCTTTTGTTTTTAAAAATGTGTTATTATTAAGCTTAACCAGTGGCGCAGCGTAGGGGGGGGGCGGAGATTTTTAAAACCGCGGTAGCTCGAAAAATAGCGGTCTGATGGAAAGCTGGTAGAGGAACTTTTTGTTCAGTTTTTGTCGTATAACACCATCCCATAGTCCGTGTGCGCGAATTTCGAAACACCCTGTATAACAGATTCTGCCTGACCAATTGTGTAACAGACGCCTGTAGGTAAATTTCCTAACTAAGTGTCCGTGTAGCAAATTAAATTTGCTGGCAGCCCTGCGTGTAGTGCTCACCACTGTGCGGTGTTTTGGTTTTTCAGAAAATGGGTCTATCGACTTGGATGACCTCGAACATGTAATTTGAAACCGCAATACATGGGGTCATGGACCTTGTATACCCTAGAAAATATAATTTGACACAAAAAAAATTGCTTCATTGATTTTCAATGGCTTCGAGCATGTAATTAAACACCACATCACAAATGCTCTTCTATGACCTTGAAAACGTAATTTGATACCACACCAAATGGGTTCATTGTCCTTGGATGAGCTTGAGAATGTATTTAAATTACATAAAAATGAGACCATTGACTTTAACTCACTTTGATAATGTAATTAGACACTACATAGAAAACGAGGTCATTGACCTCGGATGACCTTGAAAATATAATTTGCAAAAATGGGTTCATTGACCGGGACCTTGTCTAATTGCTCTTGGATGACATTGAAAGTGTATTTTGGCGCCACAATTGAGGTTTCATACTACACCAAATAGGTTCATTGTCTTTGAATGACCTTGAGAATGTAAATAGACACCACATAAAAATGAGACCATTGACATATTGACTCGCTTTGATAACAAACATAGAAAACGAGGCCATTGCCCACGGATGACCTTAAAAATATAATTTGACTGGGAAAAAATGAGTTCATTCACCTTGGGATGACCGTAAGAGTATAATTAGACACCACATAAAGAGGTCTTTGACTTTTGATAAGGCCCCCAAACTCATGGACCCCTCCCCTCCCCGAAAAAGAAGACAAGGGATTTGCAGTTTTTTCAAATTGTATTTCAAGCAACTTGCTGAATAGTATTGAACATTCAATTAAAGGCGCCCCGCGACGGAGGCTCCGCTCCGCGGTTCCACGAGGGCCAGTCAGGCCCTGCTAACATGTAATTTGACACCACAAAATATGGGGTCATTGACCTTGTATCCTCTTTAAAATGCTATTTGCTACTGCAAAAAAATGAGTTCATTGATCTTGGATAACCTCGAGAATGTAATTAGCCACCACAAAAGATGGGTCATTACCCTTATATGGCCTTGAAAATATAATTCGAAACCACATAAAAATGCAGTCATTGACTTTGTATGCCATTGAAATTGTAATTTCACAACATACAAATTTACCTTGGAAATCACACCACACACAAATAAGGTCATTGATCTTGGATGACCTCGAACATGTATTTTGTCACAGCAAACATGGGGTCATTGACCTTGTATATCCTTGAAAATGTAATTATAATACCAATAAAATATTGACATTGCTCGGCCTTGAAGATTTAACTAGACACCGCAAAAATGTGGTCTTAGCTGACCTTGTGTGTAATTAAACACAAAAATATGGTCATTGCCTTTCTATGACAACACAAACATGGGTTCATTGTCCTTGGATGACCTTAAGATTGTATTAGACACCATATAAAAATGAGACTATTGACCTTGGATGGCCTTAAAAATCTGTTTGGATAACCTCGAGAATGTTACAAGAGATGTGATCTATGACCTTGAAAATGTAATCCGACATTAAAAAAATGGGCTAATTGTTCTTGGATGGCTTCGAAAATAATAAATAAATAATAATAAAATATAGTACTTCGACACTACATAAAAGTGCAGTCCTCGACCTTGGATGTCCTTGAATTTGTAATTTGACAACACAAAGAATGGGTCCATTGCCTTTGGATGACATTGAACATGTATTGGAACGTCACAGTTCAGGTCATCGACCTTAGACGACATTGAAAATGTAATTTGACGCCACAATTGAGGTCATTAACATTGAATGACCTCGAACATACCATTTCCGCGCTCACCCCGACGACAGCGCTCGCCGCGTGCACTACGTTTAAAATTTTATATATATTGTAAATACAGGGTGGCCCAACGAAAACGAAACATGCTGAATAACTCGCAAGGAAATAGTATTTGAAACAAACGCAGAAACACGTCGATTTTGATTGGAAGGACATGGGGATAAATCAGATGGCAATGTTTTGGATTGGGTTTTAGCTCGGTTTTTAGGTACTGATACGATTTTATTTCAATGAACCGGATGTTACATAGTTTGTTGTATTTACCTAAACCCTACAGTCAAGTGCATCTTCCAAAGTAGCCGCTCGAATTTAAAAACTAAACCAGGTGCGTGTAGCAAATTGTAGGGTACTTAACCCCCAGGTTCTACACTAACTTCACACTACAAAAACACGGAAATAAAGTCAACCCGGCAACGTTTCAAAATGGCCACCCCAATGACTATTCCCTCCAAAACTGAACAAGATTCCGCTTAAATTTGAAAAGTGGCACATGATCAAACATCTAAGGCAGGACCCCCTTACGTTAGTTGTAGACAACGCTTTGACCTGAAGCACAGTAGGGAAGGAACGTAAAGTAAAACTCAAATTGTGAAAAGTTTTTTAATAATGATCGCAATTATTATTGACTGTAAAAGTTCGGAAATTTAAGTTGAAATAAAATTACATTGCAAAAATAAACTTTGAAAATGGTAGCTCACCGAATCAAAATAGAAATAGGCTGGGGAAAAAGAACTTACCAATAAAAAAACCAGCCGTCAAATTAATATCAAATTATGTTGTAAAATTAATTGTTTGTAATGATGTGAATGCGTAACATAAAATTATAACATCACAAAAAGTAGCAGGTAAACTTCAAGAGGTAACATACTTATAGGTTAAAAACAAGTTTTGAGAATTATTGGTCGGGTAAGCAGGTACCAAGATTCTAAGAAAGGGTGAAATACACAGGACTCATCTTTGGTGCAATAAAGTCCTTTTGTTAAAAGCAAGATGGAAAATTGCATGACCTTGTATGCAAATTTAACTAGAAACAAGATATGTGGAAATTATTGAATCGCCACTCATTTATCGCACATAGATTCTTAACTGAAAAGCTTTGATTAGCGCAATCCCGCTCCCGCAAGATAGGTAACCCGCCACTGGTTTCGGGGTTTCGAGCCTACAGTTTAATGTCGAAGACAATCACGGAATTAGGTGTCGTAGCTCAATTTTGACTACAGTTTTTAACATCCCCGTGACAACAAGTCAGTAGATACATCAAACGAATCGGTAATTTCCAGATATTAAAATAAAATGATCAAAAGTTATATGAATGTTACTTCAGGGACAAGACCAAGTAATCAACATCAATAAACATAAATTAAGCAAGCATTACACCAAAAACGTAAACAATTACAAACAATAGCATAACGGTATCACACATATGATTCTGCATTGCGGTTAAACCAAGTAAATTTCAAAAACAAAGATTGAAATGCAAAAAAAATATAAAATGCGGCATACAAAACACAAATACGATAACAAGAAATGCAAAAATTACTACCTCCATTGAATAACACAAAATAACAACAAACATTTATGGAGCGACGCGTTCACGACCGCCATTCAAGGCAAGATGATCAACGTAACTCCCGTTCGTGCTTTTTATATGGCGCAGACAGCCTTTTCCCACCTAGAAATTGCATGGTTGCCAACTTTCAAAAATGTATGTATCGTCGCAAGTTGTATATACAGGGTGGAACCTTTCAAAATTAAAAGCCGTTTCCAGTGATGTGTCACTTGAACCAATGTTCAATTTAAGATTATTGAAGGGGTGGCAACCCTGCTTTGGTTTGCAGCAGGGGTTCATAAATTTCGAAGTAAAAGATGTCCCCTTTCCAAACAAAATCGACGTGATTTTGCGTTTGTTTCAGAAACTATTTCCTTACGAGTTATTCACTCCGTTTCGTTTTTGTTGAGCCACCTTGTATATTCCATAAAACGCAACAGCATTTTATTTAGCGTCGCCCGCTAAAGCCATCTTGACGAGTCTGTCGGTTTTACGTGACAAGCAACTCGTACAGATTTGATATGGATTTAGATTTAGGAAACGTAACGAGGTTTCCAATTTGACTTATAAGGGAGAAAGTGTAAGTCTATATGGGGCAAGTACCTTTTTGAGCCCATTTTTTAAAATTTTTTAAAAATACAACTATGTATTTTCATACAAAACTTATATATTACATATTTGATGGCGACAGTCGGACGGGTTTGGATAGAGTGAGCTGCGATAAAAACAGACGGGAGTCGTCAATTTTGCGTTGGTTCCGTTTTGTTTTTTTTTAGCTCGGCAACGATTAGTAGATTGAGACGAATAGTAGATTGTTGAAGGCTTGACGTTTCTCACGAATGACGGTTTCGTTTCGGTTTATGAGCACAGCAACCATAGAAAAGGCAAGGTTGAGGAGACGGTCAGCGACCATGAGAGCGTAAGTTGTTCTCAGATGATCTCAGGTTCACTTCGAAATTCGTTTATTAAAAGAAACTAATGCTCCTATATCGGTACGGTGCACACAGTACAGTAGGAGCATTTTAACTATAATTAAGATAGAATTTAGCTAGAAAAATTTCATTGATCTTCAGTTGCATGCGCAGTTATTTTTAATGCAACTTCGCTTCTCCTATAACTTGCACTTCTTTGTAAGTGCTTCTGCGGTAACAAAAATTGGAACATCGGGCTAATTAGCTCTGGACGAGGTGTAGAATTAGGTTTCCGTGTTACGAAACTCACAAAGAGACCAACAACCAATACCACAAGACACCCGTAGAATGGATAATACCAAAACGATATTCTGAAAAATGCGACTGGCATCTCCCCTCCGTGATAATTGCGTGTCTCTCTATAACAATTTGAAGGTTGCAACAATTCTTGAATTACTGTATTACATTAGTAACGGTGTGGTAAAATTGCAACCCCTTGTTGAAACAGGTTTCGGATAATCGGGAAGTGTTCCGTGAAACTTGTACCACAAATTTCCGAGAACCATACAAGAACTGAAGATTATCCCAGCTATTCCTCCGCAAAGAGCGCCCTATCAAAATTGAAATCGTAAAACCCACGACTCTTCTCGCTTACCTACCTGTTTATTGGCAATTGGAAAAACCATGCCGAGCGTGAAGAGCCCAAGCAACGTTCCATACGTTATGCCTAATAGACTTATTCCAAATTGCAGGATTCCTCCAAATTTCCCGACTATGAGCACCAAACCGCAATCGACGATCCCAACAACTGCGACGATCAATTTTAGGATATAACTCACGTTTCTTTCAGATATCGATTTTGATACAAATCCGGATAGAAGGTCTGTGTAAATTGTTGTTGACAAGTTGAGTAAGTTTGTTGAGAGGGTGCTGCAAGTGCCCGTAAATATTTTGTGTTGTAGGAGTTGTTACCTTAACGCGGCTGCGAAAACGCCCGCTATGAACAGTCCAGGCAAACCAAGGATGGAACCCCCCACATCCATAACATAGTACGGCACCACTTGATCGGAGTGCGCCACTTTTCCCGACAGCAGTGGATCACAATCTGCATATCTGGCATACATAGATATGCCAGTTATAATCGCTAGGACTTTCACTGTAACTGAGATAACAAAAAATATCAGCATTACCCTAAAAAGTTACAGTTCTAACAAACGAATTCGCGCGATAAGCTTTACATCTTTGCGTGCGCGAATGTCGGCACTGCATTCAAACGTTGCAACGTGCCTTGGTTGATAGAAACATCCACCATCCACATCGCTGTAGATCCTAAGGCATACGTCCAGAAATTGTCTCGAATGGTTGGATCAATGTTGAAACTGTGAACAACGTTTTTAGGATACATCGGCCGTGGGTGTTCGACTTAACTTGAAGATATCGAGTCTCTCACCCGACTTAGCAACTTCAAAGATCGTGCTCACATCACCACCTTGGTACAAACCCATGCCAAGTACAGCAAATAATCCCAGCAGTATTGAAATGGTTTGTAGGGTATCCGTCCACACCACCGTCTTCAGACCACCAATGGCAGTGTAGAATACGCAAAATATGGTTGTGGCCGGTGCAAGTACATTGACGTTGTAGCCAGTCGCTACAATTACAATAGGTCCCCTCAAACTTTACAAGTGACAAAAATGTACCTTGGTTGAAGGCTAAACAGGGCAAGAAAATAACGACGGGATTATAAATGATCAGATGAAAAATGTATATGAACGAAGCGAGCATCTTTATCGTATTATCAAAGCGAATCTGCAAATACTGATAGGTTGTAATGAGCTTCAATTTTAGGAATACCGGCATGTACACGTATATGCATGCCAACGGGCAGATCGCTATGGGTATCAATGCCCACACGTGAGCTGCACCATATCTGTAGATATCCGCCGACACTCCCAAGACGGCCAAACCGGAAATGTTACTAAAATTAGCAGCTGAACGACTATAATTGGACTGGAAATATACCTAGCGATTATCGACATTGAAACTGGAAGTATGTGCAGTTTTCTTCCTCCCAAGAGGTATTCGTCGGTGGAATTTTGCTTCGTTCCGAAACATCCGAAGAATATGCCTATGATTCCACTCACACTTAACATCACACCAAACACTGCGTAATCTAACCAAGAAAACGTAAGCGGAGGATCGATTATGGTTGCGTTAGAGATCATTTTCAAAGAATCTATTGGAACAGGTGCGCTGCACTGCAACGACAATCTGAAACCTATTAAATGATTACGACAAGTTGTTTGCTAACCTCGTTAAAATTTTTTTTCAACTGCGTTATCTGATCTATAATTAAACTACAATGAAAACTCATCATGTGAAAAACTTTTTCTAGTCACTATTAGAGTAGATGAATTGCACATACCTCGGTTCTTAACAACACAATTGCTTTCGCGTTCTGGGCAGCTTTCTTCATTTCGCTCAGATTTTTTTAATCGTGCATTCATATATAAATCAATGTGTGAAAAACGTGAATGAGAGTTTCCTATCCCAATTTTGACAGAAAATGGCCAACATCCAAGTTCGTTCATCTGTAGGATGATAAGGGGTGATCCAAATTCGGCTTTAGGATTTGAATTGCGCGCCATTTTCGTTCTATGAATGTTCAAATTAACACATGACAAATTCATCATGTCGCCTGCGGAGCACCATACCGTTTATCTTATTATTATTAGATATCTTCTTTTTAAAAAATTTTAAAAGAAGCACTGTCCTAGTGATTAGCAGTACCTATCATTATTCATTAGTCTGTACAAAAAATCAACTTCATTCATCCAACCATAACCTAGTTATATCCGTAGAAAGTTCGTGAAAAACCGACTAAAAATTATTTTTTCAGTTATCACTTGCTCGCGATTTTTTAAAAGATTTTTTAAGTGCTATTATCAACGTTTTCATTTGGTGTATAACTTATTTTCTCAAAAAACAACCATTTAGAATTGGTACCGCAAGAAATACCACAGCGCCTTAAGTAATATGACCAGAGGCGGCAGACCGTCGATTTTAGCACACCCGGATAGACCAACGTGGAACTCCATCGGTTAAAATGTACAACAGGTAACTCATCCTCAGTACACTAACACCCTTATGTTAAAAGTAACATCGAAAATTACATGGCCTTGGAGGGCAAATTCTACGTTAACAGAATATATGGAAATTGGTGAATCGCAACTCATATCGTACATAGATTCTAAACCGAACAGCTTTTGTTAGCGGAAATTCCACCCCTGAAATAGGTAAAACGCCCCTCGTCCGGGGTATCCGAACCTACAGTACAAATTCGAGATCCCTCCCGGCTTAGGTGTCGTAACTAATATGGTTACAGTTTTTTACCAACCCCGTGACCGTGTTATTCAAGGGGAGAGGTGTTAATTTACGCGCAACCGGTCCATACACGCATTAAAAAATTAGATAACTTCCACATATTTAGTAGAATAATGCTCGAAATCTAAATTCAACTTGGGATCAAGACCATGTAATCAAAATAACTATATATTTAGCAAACATTTACACAAAATATGAAAACGATGAAAGTTAACGGTATCAAACACGTGATTCAGCGGGGAGCTTAAATCGAGTCCCTTTCAAAAACAAAGATGGAAAATTATGAAAAAAGATAAATTATTGCAAAATACAAAGATTATAAAGAAACGTAAACATTACTACCGCCGGAGTCGATGGAGCCACACCATTTTGATGTTTCCTATGTCCATGCAATTTATTATTTTACGAGTTGTGTTATCTCAATTGATCGTACATGTATTTTGATGTGTTTATGTACTACATTGATTTATCATGTTTTCCACTGCATTTATGACGTCTCGTGTGTTTTGTTTTTATGAATTTATTTAATTGCATTTGATTCGATTATCTGAGATTTATCATACAATTTGAGATGTTTTATTTATGTGTACTTTCTCTTGCATTTCGTTGCTGTAGGTGATTTATTTCATGTATTTGTGTGGCCTATGCCGGGGTTTTTGTCCCGTAGAAGGTTTCCCTGGTATGATCTTGTTGTGTGCGTAATATATTTATTTGTTCTTGTCATTTTTTACGCACAAAAGTTCTGTCTTTTACTACTTAATTCCCTTCCCGATTATTCTCAGGTCTCAACGCATACAAGAACCGATTACACAACGTAGGAGTTCATTCGTGCCACCCATATCGAGCCGACTCCCATCCAAATTCAAAAGTGCCGCGAAACGTCCATCGTTTCGACTTGAAAGGTAGGTGGCTCTGCTTGTAGTTTTTTGCCAGAGTTGCCAACGGTAAGTATAGGGTAAGTCAAGTTTTCAGTGTCGGCTTGATAGACCTCTAGGATCATTACAAACTTAAGCTAAACGACGCTCTACGTTCGGCAGCTTCAAACAAGATGCCTGTCATGTCACAAGCGTACGTGCTCTGCGAACGTTGGCGTATCATATTTCAGCGAAAGAATGAGTCACGCCGACTGTTATTATTTATCGCCATTGACTTGATTGATCGATTTGATGGCGCCTGATATCACTCTAAAAAATTCGCTACTATACTATCGCCGGTTCCCAGCCAGACAACACGGAAGCTAATCTATGTCCTGTGTATTATTGAAACGGTTGTTCTCCATCAGGAATAAATGTAGATATTGGTCCTAACAGCACTAGTAATCGGACTCGGACACAAATTTTGTCAGGTATTTCCCCATTGGGCTCGGATTGGGTGGTACGAATAACTATCGGAAAGGAAATTGAATTAAACGTAATGCGTAAGAAAAGACAAGAAACAACACAACAAACCTGGTGTAACAAATACAAGAAATAAACCAACTACGAAAAACAAAATGCAGGAGAAATACACAAAACAAACATCTCAATCATAAATTCAAATGGAAAACTACTTGGCGAGTAATCCAGACAGTGTGACGCCAAGCCACCGTCATTGAGTCGACCGTACAGGTTAGTCATGGACGCAGGGCCGGCTTTAGGCGTAAGCGATGTAACCCTCCGCTTACGGTGCAGACAAGAAGGGGCGCAAAATTACTCAAATCTAATGACTGCCGAATCACGGATGTAAAACACCGACGGCGTTTTCTATTTTTAAGATCAAACGATCACAATATAACATAAATTGAAAAAATTCCTAATATAGTAAGAAATTATGTAGCGAATATTCCAGAAATCCCGATAGATATCGAGGTGCCATAAAAGATTAGTAATCGGTGACAAAGAACAAACGCGGTTGTGATGTAATCTTTCCGGAAAATGTGGTGCGTTTTGTTCTAGAATGTTCAAGACCATTCGGGAGCACTCGAAAATACTCGAGTTGGCTATATAAAAAATCGAATTTCGTTTCAGGGAAGTTCCAATTCAACATCGAACTATATAAATAGTTCCCCCTGTTATAAACTGTGTTAATGTGAGTGATAAATAATATTTGGGTGTAATAAATCAATTCATTTCAACATTGTGATAAATGTATTGTTAATTCATTGTAAATAAATAAATCACCTAATTAAATTTACGTTACAGTGTGTTTTAAGTATATTTTTAAAATCCTGCTTGCCAAAGGTTCCCATTATTTAGCGTTTAGCGCGGCGGCTAGGGGCGCAAATTTTAGTGCTTCCTTACACATAACTTTTGTCTTGAGGCAGCCCTGTATGGACGCGGCGACCAGGAATGGTGATGCGACGCATTCTTTCCGTTTCTATGATCACATAACCAGACCACACAGACTAAACAGAAGAAATGTTAATTGGAGGACCCTCCTTTCCTAAGCATCGTCCGCCCGCTGGCACGAGAGAGGAAACAACATGATACAGCGAAGAATCGGGCCCGAATGAGGTACTTCCTCCAAAAAATAAGCGATTTGAAGAATCTTACAGGACAACAGAAAACTAATAATATACTTCCACGTGAATACACAAGTAAATACTTAATAAAAAAAACAATATAAAGGCACCGCGTACGGTGTTCTGTTACGAATTCGTGCTCTTACGGTCTTTCCAACAATTTGGGTAGTTGGCTGCTGCTGGACCTAGTAGTTTTTTACGAGAAACTTTTGACTATACAAAAATGTTCGATTCACTTGATGATGGCTAGCAGTTTTCTTCGGGTAACACAGCAATTGCGTTCCGGTTTAGAGAAGGCATAGAATCATTTTATTAGTTTAATTCGAAAGACGAGGGGGCATTGCACAGACCAAAGGGCATTGCCATAAACCCGACCCCAAAACCTCGCGCTTCCACCTTTCTTCAACACTGGCAGTAAAGGTGAAGTACTTGTACTGCTGTATGATTCAATTGCAATTGCGACAAGTTGATAGTGAGCTGTGAGGTGTAGGCAATATGAAAACACACAAAAAACACAATGTTTGCGATTACAAAAAAATGAAATAGCTACTCAACAATTTCGCATGGAACTCTTTTTAAAGGAATATCGTCTTTGCAACTTCGATCTTTCTTTAATTGTTTCGTCGGTAACAAGAATTGGAAAACTGGACTGATCAGTTCGGGTCTGACGTTGGAGTCACTTTTGCGCGTTACAAAGCTCACTAGTAAGCCAACTACCACCGTGACAATACATCCGCATATCGAAAAGTACCAAAACGACACCCTGAAGAAAGCCGACGGAATTTCTCCTTCGTAACTTTTGTAATTGTCGCTAAAGTATAGTGTAAAGTTATTGCTTAGTGATTTCAGTAGTTTACCTTAGCAACGGTGTAGTTACATTACATCCTTGCGTTGAGATGGGCTTTCGATGATCAGGAAGTAATCCATGGTACTTATAGAATAGGTTACCAAAAACCATAAAGCCGCTGAAGATTAGTCCAGCAATTCCTCCACTCAAAGCACCCTATAAACTACCATATGTTTCATCTGCAAACCCTAAACCGCCTCATACCTTTTCGTTGGCTATCGGAAAAACCATTCCCAGCGTGAATATCCCGAGCAAACTACCATATGTAATGCCCAAAAGGCTTATTGCAAATTGCAAAATTCCGCCAAACTTTGCAACAAGGAATACCAGGCAGCAATCGACAATCCCCACAACTACAACTATAAGCTTCAATAGGTAACTTATTTTCTTTTCGGGTGTTGATTTTGGTACAAAACCAGATAGAAAGTCTGTGTAAATGGTCGTTGCTAAATTGAGTAAGTTTGTAGATAGTGTGCTGTAAATTTCTATAGTTTCTAATAATGATTCTACGTAAACTTATTACCTTAAAGCAGCTGCAAAGACGCCGGCAATGAAAAGACCAGGTAATCCCAAAATTGAACCGCCAACATCCATAACGTAATAAGGTACTAGTTGGTCCATGTGAAGTGCTTTACCCGACTGAAGTGGATCGCAGTCTGCATACCTTGCATACACTGCTATACCCGTTATCGTGGTCAATACTTTAAATATAACGGAAATGATGCCAAACAATACCATAACCCTTAAAAAATTCAAATGTAAATAGTCACCAAAGGTCAGCGCGAAACCTTACAGCTTCACTTTAGCAAATGTCGGTACTGCACTCAATCGTTGTAAGGTACCTTGGTTAACGGCAACGTCTACCATCCACATGGCACTACTTCCCACTGCAAAAGTCCAAAAAGTGTCTCGTACGGTAGGGTCTAAATCAAAGCTGAGTGCAACACTTGTCGCTCGATCAACGCTCTGTTACATACTTGAACACATCAAGTCGTCCACCATCCCTTGCTATTTTGAAAACGTTGCCAACTCCACCACTCTGGTACAGTCCCATGGCGAGTACCACAACTGAACCTAAAAGTATTGAGATACTTTGCAGAGTATCGGTCCAAACGACCGTTTTCAATCCGCCAATTGCAGTATAGAAAACGCAAAATACAGTTGTGGCTGGAGCAATTAGGTAAATGTTGTAGCCGGTTGCTGCACATAACAATGACTGTTGTTATAAATTTAAGAAACGATAACCCGTTACCTTGACTGAAAGCTAAGCATGGTAGGAAGATAACCACGGGATTGTATGTCACAAGCTGAAAAATGTACATAAACGACGCCAAGATCTTTACCGATTTACCAAAACGGAGTTGCAAGTATTGGTAGGTCGTGATTAGTTCCAGTTGTAAAAGTACGGGCATGAACACGTAAACGCACGCCAAGGAGGACGTGAGTATCGGTATTATTGACCATATGAAATACGCGCCGTACCTGTAGATGTCGGCGGGAGCTCCCAAGACAGCCAATCCCGATATGTTACTTAAATTTGGTTTCAATTAGTTGTATAATAATTGATTTGGTATACCTAGCGATTATGGACATCGCAACCGGAACTATGTGCAAACGTTTCCCGCCTAAAAGATATTCGCCACTTGAGTTCTGCTTACTACCGAAACACCCAAAAAAGATTCCTATGGATCCGCTCATACCCAAAAGTGCCGCAAACACTACATAATCCAGCCATGAAAATGTGATCGGTGGTATTGATGTTCGTATTTCAATCAGTGAAGAATTCATTTCTGGACAACTGCCTGCACACTAATGCGCACGCCGGATTCGAAGGGGCAAAATAGGTTTAGAGTAGATTACACCGACCGAGGATGATCGAGGTCACGATGATAAGAAATTATAAAAACTACGTCGAGCATCTTACACAACATTTATACAGGGTGGTGACTTGCGTCACGCATCATAGGGATTTCAAAGTAAAATTCATAACATGCGATTATTGGCTTCCCAAATTATTTTAGAGCAAAAACGTATTAAGGTTTTTTGTAGAAAAAATTTTTTTACGCCTATAAACAGTATTAGTTTTTAATTCTTTACATAATAAAAATGGAAAATTGGAAAAATAAAACTCGCATCTTTTTCAATAATCTGTGATGCCATGGAATTGTATAATACAAAAAGTACGCCAATATCCGTCATGCCATGGAAAGTCTGCTATAAAACAAATCAAATTCTATCAAAAACTATTATATTTAGAACAGCGAATTTAACATAAAGAAAGAGCAAATTACTAAAAACGGTTTCCTAATATAACAATTTACAATAAATGTTCGAATAAGTCACCGTTATCTGCAATACAGTAACCAAGTCGATCATAAAATCCATTTCGAACTGCTGCTAATTGATAACTGGATATCTTTTTGTTTTAGAAAATTCCATGGCATCGCAGATTATTGAAAAAGATGCGGGTTTTATTTTTCCAATTTTCCGTCTTTATTATGAAAAAATTGAAAACTAATACGGTTGATTGGCGTAAAAAATTTTTTCTACAAAAAACCTTCAATACATTTTTGCTCTAAAATAATTTGGGGAGCCAATAATCGCATGTTATGAATTTTACATTGAAATCCCTATGATGCGTTACGCAAGTCACCACCCTGTATACTGCAGGTATACCGACTTGTTGAAGAGTGTGTTGATAACCTTTTAGCTGATTACATATGGCATATTATGCACGTCTATCGTCTTTAATGAATTCGAGAAAGATTAATGAAACTAGGCCTACAACATTTAATCCTGACAGTAACAGAAATCATTGTAGAGAAGTCAGAAAGTCCCGTGAACTTATGGGCAGCATTTTCTATAATGATATATTAACTGACCGTATTGAGAACGAATTCAAAGTCAAACTAGCTGACTAAGAAAAAGATTTGTGTGATTAGAAGGCTGATGTGTACATCTAACACTTGTTGAGTCCAATGGTTGGAACCGGCACCTAAAAGAACCTGTTAGTCCAGGCAACGAAGGAAAAATAGCGGAAATAATAAAATTCATTAGAAGCCAATTTTTGCACACTTGTAGAGGAAGGTGTTCTTAACAACATACTAAAAGTCCTGGGGGGTGATGGTAGAGCTAAGGGTACAGGGGGTGTCTAAAGGTCCTATTTTTCAGTTTTTTGTCAATAACTCGTAAAATAATGCCTCTAGCAAAAAAATGTTGGTATACTAAATTAATCTACATAAAATTCTCTATAAAAAAGGTTCTATACACTTTTTTGCTAGGATCAATGCTCAAGGAGATATGGAGGTGGGAGAGGGTGTACAATTTTAGAGTTTTTTTTTAAAAAAAAGAAATGTTTTAAGTTAAAAATAACATGTTTATTGTTAAAAATGAAGTGATTAGTGAATTAATTATGTATCTTGACAATTAAATAATTAATTTTTCAACAATAACAAGTTTGCTGAAGTGGTTTTCGCAACTAGAGAGCAACACGTTGATTTTCGGGTATCAAGGCAAACAAGAGATTCACGAGATCGAGCTAAGATTCACGAATGGTTCAATGACCATCCCCCTTTTCCGAAGTTGGATTCGCTAATGTCGCTGTTATCGGGCATCCTGGGAAGTTCCAAAATAAACTGCCACCAAGCCCTCGATATTGGAACCAAAACAATGCAAAGTTTTATTGGCAGCAAATTCGGTGACATGAAGCAATCTAAAAAGAATGTGGTTTTGTCAATAGCCAGTATAAGTAACACTGTAAAAATTAATGGTGAGAAAGTGAGTATTAACCCCCTGACAATTTTTCAACGAACTGTCATAGTAAAAAAGAACGACAGCAATGTAGCAGAGCTTTTAGCTTATGAATTAACTCCATACCCCTTGGCTCTGTTCAACGAAGGCGGAATGCGAAAAGGGAAAAAATCAGCTCTCTATGATGTTTTGCCGGCAGAGGACAACGCAACCCTCGATCTCACCCAGAGCACCGTTGTAGTAGATGGCGGTTTCCTCCTCCACCGCGTGAAGTGGAAACAGTCCTCCAACATTTCACCAATTTCCCAACAGTACATTGCCTATGCACAAAAACATTACGGTGAAAATTGTATGGTGGTTTTTGATGGTTATAGTCATGTCGACAGCACAAAACGAGCGGAGCAGAAGCGAAGAGGGATCTCAAAAACTTCTGTTGACATCAACTTTCAAGAAAACACGACCATCACAGTTCAACAAGAGCATTTTCTTGCTAATGAAAGAAACAAAACAAGGCTGATTCACTTGCTCAGTGAGAAAATGACAGCAGCAGGCATTGAAACTACTATAGCTACAGGGGATGCTGACGGCACTATTGTGAGGTGCGGGTTGGATAAAGCTGCTGTACATCCAACTGCAGTAATAGTTGGGGAGGATGTGGACTTGATAGTTCTCCTCATTGGGTTGGCACCACAATCAACCAATATATACTTCATGAAGCCAGGCCGTGGTAATGTGGAGACCAAATTGTTTTCAGTGCGGCAACTTCAACAACATCCGATCGCCAAAACGATTCTCCTTCTCCATAGCTTCTCCGGATGCGACACTACCTCGGCGATACATGGGAAGAGTAAAGTGGGAATAGCTAAGCTTTTCAAGGAAAATCCTGGCCTTACTCAAGACATGTCCACAATATTTAAAGATCCCTCAACATCACCTGAGGATATTGAAGAGGCTGGTGAGAAACTTTTCCTGGCTATATACAAAGCGCCTGCTCATCAAAATAATCTAAACGAACTTAGATACTCAGCATTTTTAAAAGCTGCAATGAAGCCCAAGTCAGATATGGCCACTCTTCCGCCTACCAAAGGAGCTTCAAAGCAACACTCGCTCAGAGCATACCTACAGGTAAATCCATTTACTTGTATCTTAAAATACCTAATGCTTTCTTTAAATTACAAATATTAATTTGTGATGAATTCTTACGTTGGTCTCATTACTTTCTTACAGATACAACAGTGGCTCGGAAACCCCCTACCCCCCATACAATGGGGTTGGGTCAAGGGAAAAGATGGTATCCTTAACCCAGTTTACACGAAAGACCCTGTGGCACCCGAATCCATTCTGAAAATGATCTTTTGTCGATGCATGACTGGGTGTGGGGTGCGCTGCGTTTGCCGAAAGGCAGGGATTACTTGCTCCGATGCCTGTGGATGCCTCGGCTCATGTACGAACGGAGCCCCCGTCGAAGAAAGCATCGATGAAGATTTAGATTTTGACGAAATTTAATTGTCAAGATATATATAATAATAATTCCTTCACTAATTACTACATTTTCAGCAATAAACATATTATTTTTAACTTAAAACATTTCATTTTAAAAAAAAAACGTTTTTTTTAATTTTACACCCCCTCCCACCTCCATACCTCCTTGAGCATTGATCCTAGCAAAAAAGTGTATAGAACCTTATAGAGAATTTTATGTAGATTAATTTAGTATACCAACATTTTTTTGCTAGAGGCATTATTTTACGAGTTATTGACAAAAAACTGAAAAATAGGACCTTTAGACACCCCCTGTACCCTTAGCTCCACCCTCACCCCCCAGGACTTTTAGTATGTTGTTAAGAACACCTTCCTCTACAAGTGTGCAAAAATTGGCTTCTACATTAATTATTTCCACTATTTGGTATTTTTTGGTCTTCGTTGCTTGGACTATGTACCGGAACCGATTGCGTTTGTAGGCCTCTCACTTAAAACCGGAACCGTTGTTCAAGAAGTTATAATAACCAATACCGATACCGTTAGTGCCAAAGAATCGGTAATTTTCGGTTCTTTGTGAGAGGGAATTTCGTTTTATACGAAACCAGATTCATACGTATTGGACCAAAAGACTAAAACAAATAGACATTGCTTTTTCCTTTTTTGTTATGTTATAATTATAAGTTGATAAAAGTATTAGATTATTGTTGACTAATTATTAAATTATTATGAAAATTTAAATCTAATGAAACAAAAATGCGAATCATTAAAATACCTGCAAAAATGAAAAAGTTACAAGACTTAAAATAATTTCGGCCCACATGTGACGTCACTTGACCTATTCGCATACGATGCCTATTCGTTCGCTTAGTACGTGTACGGTTCGTTATTAATGCGCCGCATCGTTATTACGGATTAGGTCATTTTACACCCCTAAACGCACGTATACAAGATTTGAGACAAATTTGTTGTTCCCCTTTAATTGTGTTGCGCCCCCAAAGAATTCGTTAATTTAGTTATTCCTTTGCACGTTCCTTTAAATAAATTATCCTTAGCACACCCTGTATATAACTATTTTGCCTGTCCCTGTATATACTCTCACTTGCTATGTGTGCCGCATGAGCCGTCAAAGTTAGACGTGCATATACACACTTCGAACAACAATCGAAGAAGAACACAAGATGCCACGACACACTTCGCACGTGATGTCACACAAGAACATACCCTTGTAGGTACAGCTTCTATATAGTAGCTATACTTGTAGGTGTATCGTGAATATACATCTAAAAATTGACAGAAAACTTTCACTATACTAAAAATTGATATACCTATTCAAAATTACAAATAGTACTTTATCTTCCATGCAAAATGAACACAAATGAATAAACAAAGCTTTAGGGCCGTCGTCACGAACTTATAAATTAAGATGGACTGCTGATCAAACAGTTGCATAACAGCTCTGATTACCGATTGCTGTTTCGGAACTGTCATGGTCACGTCTTGGTTATCGCCCGTAGTTTTTGAACGCGCCCCCGGATCCTTTTTTTTTCCTCGAATCGGTCTAAATTTAGAGAAGGGGTATAAACGTGAACAGTCTCAAGCTCGTGCTCCATTTTGGAGCCCTCTGACAATTAACGTTTGCATGTCCGGCATGTATTCTTATCATTTAAAGAAAAACTATTGATTTTTTTAACGTTTATTAATGCATAAACTCATAAAGGAATTTGAAGTAAGATTTTATACATACAGTTTTCCTGAGCAGATTTGAACTGTCGGTGGGCTACCTTAATCAAGTACTGGAGGTTATTATATTTTACCCAACTAAATAACAATTTTATTAGGGAGAATATGGTAAACTCGACAATTCAGAAATAAAATTAATTTCTCGTTGTTACTTTCAGTTGCTAAACAACCTCACACAGTTTCCCACATTATCCCCTACAAAACAGATGTTGCTTAAAAATGTAGAACGTATTCGTTAGTTGGTATCAGTATCAACATCTATACTCTTAAACTTAGAACTGCATTTAAAATGTATCTTTTATGTTCGATCCAATGTAAGAGAGTAAGCAAACATCATCTCAATATTCCCACTATACCAAACCATATGGTGTTCTTTACAAACATCACGATCGCGCGCATTTATCTAAAAAAAAATTATAAGTGACAACAGAGAAAATATATTTTATTCATGAACGGTTGAAGGTAGATTTCTTCTATAAATTTATTATATCTATTTTGGCTTGACCTACTTTTTGAAACAAATCCACGAGCTGCTTCGAACGAACTGCACCAGAGCTTCACGCACTCAAATGGAAAGCATTATTTTTTGCACAGTTTAGTGTTAGTTGATGTTTTTTTAAATAAAATTTATTGTTGGTTGCATAATTGCACTGAAAACATTTTAAATCTTTCGAACTGTGTGTTAACAGATGAGCCCTCAAATTGCCTTTAATATTGGTTGCGTAATCACACTCGCTACATTTTAAATCCTTAGAACCTTTATGTCTTAACTGATGCAATTTCAAATTACCTTTAATATTAGTTGCGTAATCACACTGACTACATTTTAAATCCTTAGAACGGTTGTGTGTTAACTGATGCACTTTCAAATGACCTTTAATATTAGTCGCATAATCACAATGGCTACATTTTAAATCTTTAGAACACTTGTACTTCAACTGATGAGTTTTCAAACGGTATTTATTATTAGTTGCATAATCACACTTACTACATTTAAAATCTTTGGAAGACTCATGTGTTAACAGATGATTTTTGAAACTGCCTTTATGATTGGTTCTATAATCACACTTGCTACATTTTAAACCACTTGAAATCTTATGTGTTAACGAATGTACATCAAATTGACTTTTAGTGTTACTTGTGAAATCGCACACTACACAGCTGAAAATCTTCCACGTTTTATGAGTTAACAGATGGACTTGTAAATTACATTTAGTATTGGTTGCATAATAGCAATGGGCACATTTGAAGCCTTTCGATTTTTGTGGTAGAATATCAGGTGTAAAATCGCCAGAATCCTTGTACGAAATATCTCCAACAAGTTTGTCTTCCTGCTGCAATTCGGTATTATCTTCCAAGTAAGAGATATTGTTGAAATAATCCACACTAACCATGGGCTCATTAGACTCCTGTTTTATATTTGCAGAGACATCATTGGTAAGAAAAACGGTATCACTAATGGATGCGTTTATTTCTTCTTCTTCTGTAGGTTCAACTTTAATATCTGCAGACATTATAAACGTTTTTAGCTACAACGTGTTGTGTTTAAAACACGTTGAACACGTCTTTGAGAAGGAGCAACAAATATCAAGGACAGGGACGAAATTCGACGAGAAAATATGATGGAGGCGATGGAAAACGACGAACGTGACTATTATAGAGACAATGGGCGCGTTCATAAGACACAACTGTTATTAAACAGTTACCAATATTTCTTATACAATGCGATCAAAAAACAGTGACCGATTCGCTCTTATTAATCTCTTAATATAATATAATTAATATAAGCCCGTTTGTAACGATCACATATTTAGTCAAATTTTTAGTCCTTTTTTACTTCAATAAAGATACCTAATGCTATCCTAAAAATGTCATAAATGATGAAAGTGTATGTAACATTCCATAATATTGTCCATTTTTTAGTACCAGTAAAATATAAACATTTGTATCTGGAGACTAAATATTTATCTTCTGTAAACTAAGGTTTCTGTCTACTGTAAACGTATTATAGTGAGCTTTAAAAATGAATATAAATTTTATTTTAATTTTACAAATTCCCCGGGTAATCTGTCAAAAGTTACTAAAAATTGAGGGAAAAATAGGACAGGTTCTAAACATTACAAAAATAGGACAACTTTCAGTTCCTAAAAAATAACTACCAAAAAATTGATCAAAGTTTGATGTATGAAATGTTCAATTTTTTTGTTCCTAAAAAAATTATTTAAAAATTGTGTAAATAAATGATCGTTACAAACGGGCTTTATTTAGTAACAAGTTGCCGCAACAACGAACAATAGTTTGCTTTAATACGACAATATACAAGGTGGTCCATAAGTACGAAAGAAATTCATTTTTAGCTTTATTATGTTGTACTAAATTGGAAAGAAAAACTGAAACAGGTTGATTTTTATTTTTGGCCCGTCTTACACGAGTAATAATTATGCCCGTATTGATGAATTTAATTGTGTTGGAGATAATATCATTGAATTTATGATGATAGTTATAAATTCAATGATAATATGGTCTGTGTAATACACCATTTATCACAAATAAACTTGACAAATGACATCCTAGGATCGCATACTGTTTGCGCATTTTATGCTTACAAAAATAGAATGCGTGTGTATACGGCTCCATAAGACGCAATGTTTCAGGTCTATTCGAGATACCGGTATCCGGGGGACTGTATCATCTTGTAAAAGCGGTCTTAAGGTACTTACACGAAAGTAAGACGAAAAATCAAGGACAAAAAATATTCTGCTAAGGTGTGAGATGTAGTGGTATGGTAAGACAATTCCACATGAAAAGCATTATTAATTAACCGGACCTCCTCCAGTCCAGAAGGTATCTGAAGGTCCCGGATACGGTAAGCTTAGACTAAAGTTGTATTTCAATATGAATGCCGCTATAACTATCTTTTATCACTTCGACGTCTACCACTGCACAGGCGAAAAAGTTAATTACCTACACTCAAAAAAGAGATTCGTACGCAAAGAATTAAAGTCGCTACTAATGAATCCAAATTAAATTAAAAGCATTATGCGGGTCACTCTGTAATTGGGCGCGAGCCTGTTGAGGGCCCAGAACAAGAGAGGGATAAATAAATAAAAAAAATAAAACAAATGCGAGTTTTAAATCAATAGCTAGCCAATCTCAAGCAAATCAAAATAGCAACAAAATTCACATTGACAGCAAATAAAACATAATTCAAGAATCACTTTACCTTGAGTTAATAACGGCTGAATTAATTGAAGGTTTCAACTACACCGGCGGGATTAACCAATAATATTTATTGCACAAAGTGACATTGATGCGATTCCTAATCCAAACGCGCCGACTAAGGTGAAAGACGTTTGTGAACTTTGATACCACTCAAACTTAAGTGTTAATACTTTTGATCTGTGGGAAATCTGAGTTCACAAAAAACACCTCAACTTCATATTATATTATATGATCGCACATGAAATTGTATCAACCCTCTAATAGTAGTAAAAGCAACCCTTACAATTTAAATAAGGAAGAAAGGTTGAGCGAGTCTACATTCAAATACCTTTTCAAACATATTACTTTTCAGTACAGAAAAAAAGTGTGACTGTATATTTCTCCAGTGTTGTGACAGGATGCTTTTAGTATCTAGATACATAGGTACCTACATATACATTTAAAAAATTGTATCTAGATACATTTTTAGGTACATTTGTTTCAGTGTAGGTATCTAGATACAAACACTTATACTTTGTATCTAGATAACATAGTGGAAAAAAGGCTGTGATAATTACCTTCAAACTCAAATTCAAATTAGCGTTCGCATTAGTGAAGATGAATATTAAAAAAAATATTGAGTTGAGCTGCTTTAAATTGAATTTTAATTATAAGAGGTAATTAAGTACATACATTATACATACAGTGCTGAACAACTACATATAAATAAATACACAAAAAAGAAAGATTAAATAAATAGGTTTTTCAAATGTATTTTATCTATGAAAACCAAAAAACTTTTGAAATGAAATTCTCAAATCATTAAATGCGTTTTTCATTCTAAAAGTGAAACCCCTTGACTGAGTATTACTGCCAAAAACAAACACATCATTGTTGGTATTATCGACAGTATTAAGTTTGTTATTTTCCTTTGTTTCAATGGCTGTGTTGGTGTTGCTTAATAAATTACTATCCTTCAAAGCCAACTCTCGTAATGGATATAAACAATCTTGCTGCTTTGTCTCTGGACCAGAGATAGGCCGTTCGAAGTATCTTTTAATGCACCTACGTTTTGTAGGTTTTGAATATAAGGAGTTGTTCTTATGTATAGCAGTATTAGCAGTTGCACTCTCCCCCTTCTCCTGAAATACTCAAAATGTATAAGGTACCATGAACCCTAAACTAACCTGATCACTAATCAACCGTTTTCTCCGTGGCACTCCGGGACTGACCCCAACCTCCTGGTATTGTTCAAGGTTTCTTTTATGTACGGCTGGTCGCCTAGACGAACTATCCTTACGTAAAGTCCTGCGTTCATTAAGATACTGCTTAATTCGACCATCGACCGCCCTGACCCAATCCTCGATTTCACTCGCATGTTCGTGATATACAGTCAAACTTTCGTCTTCACAATTTATAGTAAATGCCCCCTTGCTCAAATTTTTCACCAGCTTACACTTATTCAAAGGAAAAATACCGTAACATTTCAACGAATTTGGTAAATTGACGTCGTTCTTCTTAATTTTGCAGTACATCAAAATATCGCTCATCAAAACGACACACTTCTTAGATTTTTTATCGGCATCGGTTACCACGGTCAGTACTCCCTTCTTAATTAGCTTACGACCCGGCCGTACGATGGAGGGGACGCCGTGTAAGAGACTGCGTTGAAATTCTAAAAGCAGCTGGGCATTCTCCTGATCCTCGATCAAGCTGTTGAGGTGGAGGGCAACGGATTCAACTGTTTTGTGTAACTCTAAAATAATCTTTAGTGGAATTTGGTAATTCTATTTGGGTGTAGAGTAGACTGTAACGACCATCCTCAAATTATGATCACCCCCCAACTTAAATTGTAGACTTAAATCTCAACTTGACATTTTTTAGCGCATTTTACGAAAGTAAAAGCAATTTCTACGTAAGATAACATTTCAATGAAGACAATTTTTAAATACAATGTATGATTGTATAATCATATACACCTCACTACCACCAAGTGATCAATGGTTGTGGTCATTTCTATAAGTTGCTAAAATAATGCTCATTGTGTAGTTCTGAGAGGAATATGTTTACTTATTCCTCTGAAACATTAAGTTGGAGGGTTGTGATTTGTCCTAGTTAGATACCTATTAAAGGAAGATGGAGATCATGTGAGGAAGGGGTGTTCTCAATCAGTTGCTCAAGCAACAAGCAGTAGCGAGGTATCCTTTGAATTGGTGTGATTAGCAAAGCAGACAGTTTTGATTGGACCTCGGGCCTGCTTTCCTGCATTTCGAGTAAATGAGCAAACGCAGCGTTCTTCTTTGAAATGTTCTGAAACAAACTAAAGTCACTCTTCCATATTAAATAAAATTGTAACACCTGTAACATTTGTAAGCTAGCTTTATAGTGATAGGCGTAAACGGAGTAATGCTTAAAAAAGGGTACAATTTTTGAAAACGCATCCGCGAAACTCTTCGTTTCCAGTTGGTGTATAAGTTCGCTGGATATATTGCTGATAGTTTTAACATTACAAAATAAGGTATCATATTCGTCATTAGTTAAAATCTCACGCTCTTTCAGGGGTGCCATGAAGTGATCTTTGAGAATCGTGAGCTGCCGTTGATAGGAAATCTCACTGCTCAGTATCTCGGAAAGAATTTTATCTCGTTGACCATTTTGATATCTTTCAATCTCTATTTTTTTTATGTCATATAAATCTGTTAATATCTTTTGCTTTGTGCGTGTAGTAAGCATATTCCTCTCTAGGATTTCATGATGAATTTCAGCACTTAATCCAAGTTGTTTATCGGGTGTACAATTTTCCTGTACATTAATGGACCCTTTTTCGTTTATATTTTCCATATTCCCGTATAACCATATAACTAGCGCACTATAAAATTGCAAAAGAATGTTCTGTGAGGAAGAATAAAAAGTAACGTTTATAAGTGGGCGGTTAAAGGCACAGGTGGTTACATTTGAAAATGTTTACGTTTTACACGCATACCAACCAAAAAAATAAAATTCCCAACGTTTTGAAGAGATATTTATGTACAGTATGTTTCAATTTCGATGGGATTAAATTAGCGCACAGGTACAATGTGTAAATGAAAACGACTATGTCCGTTTTCTCCGTAGGATCTTGTCGGCTCAAAAGTAAACCCCGCCTAATTTCCCTTTTTCATATGCACCACAGAATTTCCGCGCGCGCTACTAAAATTGCAAGAACGTTTTTAGCGCGTTTTTTAAAAAAAAGTAGTCCGTTGATGGCTGTTCGGTCGGTCGGTCGGCTGCAAAGGTTTTTTAAGTACGTATAACTCTGGAAGGAATCATCGTAAGTAGAATGCTTGGGTTTGATAATTCTTTGCATGCGGATTATATTTCGATTTTTGGTCGGATTATAGACAGTTGTTTTATCGGTCAGTTTTGGTAATGAATAAAAACGCCATGTAATGCCATCGGGCTTTAGTCTAGGACTTAGTTAAACCGGATTATGTTTTTCTCGGTACATAACAATCGTTTTCAAAGCCGTTTTTATTAATATTTAAGCTCTCTTATGTAGCCGGACTTTTCTACAAAACGGAGAATAGGGGCATTAATTAGGTACTCAATGGCCTCTTTTTTCATGATTATTCCAATATCGTTACACGAAGGGCACTTGGAAAAATATTTGTAAATGTTCTTCAATATCAGTTAGATCACTGTTTTGTTGACTATTTTCTTTAAATGTTGATCAAGCGTATATTTCAAGTGTTTCATAGGCGACTATATTTTTTGTTATTTATTTTCAGGCAAGGTTTATTAACATACAATATTTATTGTAGAGAACTTTTATTATTGAAAATAAGTATAATTTCGAAAAACTCGTAAAACAAGCAATCTTTTAAAATCATGGCCAACTATAATTTTCATTTAAAAAAATCAACTTCGAGTTACAGGGTAGTTAGTAAAACCACAGATATACATAAAAACTAATTAAAGTGCCTTTCAGGTAGAATAAGATTAAGGGGTTATATTTTCCAGTCTCAAAAACGCCGGGATAAATTCAATTCACTTTCAGATTAATACGATTTCACTTACAAACGCCAGAATAACCCAATGTTTACAAACCGCTCCCACCTACACTCGCAATTTGTAAATTCAACCAGCGCCGCCAGTGTTAATTTGAAGATTAATCCCCCCCAAATATCATTACACTATAAGCCGCCATGGAAAGCTAGGCTTTCTGAAACTCTATAATCAGGACTCAAAATGTGACCTACCCCCAATTTCCAAGTTACTGAAATAACCTCCTTGTAAAGTGATTGCATTATATTTCTATGATTTATCCAGAACTGCAGAACATTATGGGAGACCCCCAGAACCCTAATTACATTGCAAAATTTTTCACATGTGGAACTTCTCTTTTGATTATAATTTATAACAAAGCACCTATTTCCCGAATTGATATTTCATACCCGAAGTTACAACCACACTGTACATTTGTGATTTTAGAGTATAAATGCGGAAAATTAAGTAAGTACCTAAAATTAATAGTAGCCAGTAGCTAAATAAATGAGTTGCAGTGAACATCATTCCACATAGCGGTGTGGGGTATCATAAAAAGCACACTTAATTTCAGATCTTTAGGACGTCCGCAGCACACGCACGTAATTAAGGAAGTTTTAATTTTTAACGCTTTCGTATTTGGTATACGTTGTGTCGGCTGGAAAAACCGTCGATGCCTTTATAAAATAGCCGAACTTTATAAAAGGTAAAGTCATTGTTTAGAGGGGATCTTTTTGCTTTTGGGGTTTAACCGAAACTTAGAGTCTTTTTGGCTTTTGCATTTTTTCAAGCTACGTTCGTAAGTACCGAAATTTTTGAGATTTTCCTTAAAATTTGGTAACCGTACCGATTTTTTGCCTTTGGGTGTTGTAACCGAAAAGTGGGATCTTTCTGCCTTTTACACTTTCGCAAGCTACGCTCTGTAAGTACCATAACTTTGAGTTTTTCCATAAATTTATTTTGCATTCATACCGTTTAATTTTTGCTGCTACATTAAGTTTACCGCACCGTATCTGTAGCTTTTGCTTTTTTTTGCACAGTAATTTCTGCCGTTCCGTTAAATTGGAAAGGTAAGCTTTTTGTTACATTCTGTTTTATTAATGAAAAGGGGGGATACTGTTCCGTATTCCAGCATTGGTTTTCCCGTAGACACCACTACCGAATCCGATTAGTTATTGTTCCCGCTTTGGGACATTGCTGTGCGCTTTAATTTTCTTTTAGCATTCACCAGTAACCGGCCGCCGCTTGCCTTTTAGCATTGTAGCTTCCGTTTGAGTTTGACCAAGCCTTCGCCGCCGAGACCGATCCGCCAAACCGCTGCTACTGCCCCCCTTGACTAGGAGCAAGGCCGCATCATTGGTGGCGCTCGAGTCCGTCCGTACGTCCACCCATTCTACCGACAGATTGCCGCCGACTGCCGCTACTTTCGTCCGCTCATATGATTTATCGACTATAATTTGTAAATTTATTTATTTTTTTTGTAAATTAAATTGTAATCACTATTCCCCTGATGCTTATTTAATTTTTCATGCCTTTTGTGCACGGACTTACTACCAAAGTTCGTCGCATGATTTCCGTGGCTTTGTTGCAAAACGAATTTGATGACCTATACTGCTGCCTTTTTCAACTACCCACTTGGTTCTTTTTAGGGACTGGAGAATTACAACCACTTATTTAATTCATGACCTATGATTTACTTATTTTTCCAATAGGTAATTAATGCGAACTGTGTGTACAAAATTTGAACGTACTCCAAAAGGATACGTTATGATTCACAGTTTTCACATGTCATTTGTTTAACAGTATTGTAGTGTACTTAACCCCCAGGTTCTACGCTAACTTCACACTACAAGAACACGGAAATAAAATAAACCCGGCAACGTTTAAAAATGGCCACCCGAATGACTAAACAAGATCCCGCTTAAATTTGAAAAGTGGCACGTGATAAAACATCTAAGGCAGGGCCCCCTTACGTTAGTTGTAGACAACGCTTTGACCTGAAGCACAGTAGGGAAGGAACGTTAAATAAAACACTGAAATTGTGAAAAGTTTGTTTAATAATGATCGTAATTATTATGACTGTGAAAACCCGGAAATTTAGTTGATGTACATTAATATAAACAAAACAAACAAAGCCAAAACGTTGTACTCTCGCAAAGGTCACTGCCAAGGGTAAAAAGAGTACGACGTAAGAAAAACCTTGCAGTTTGATTAAAACAGTCCAAAAGTTAATTAACAAAATATTTTGTAAAAGTTAAAGCAGTTAACAAACATAGTAAATCCATATACACAATGTTGGTTACACTCAAGGTTAAAACAAGTTTTTTGGGACAATGGGTCAGGTATGAGCAGGTACCAAGATTCTGAGAAAGGGTTAAAAGTACAGGATGTGACTCATCTTTGGTGCAATAAAGTCCTTTTGTTGAAAGCAAGATGGAAAACTACATGGCCTTGTAGGCAAATTTGACTAAAAACAAAATATGTGGAAATTATTGAATCGCCACTCATTTAACGCACATAGATTCTAAACTGAAGAGCTTTGATTAGCGTAATCTCGCTCCTGCAAGATGGGTAGTCCGTCCCTGATTTCGGGGTTTCGAACCTACAGTTGGATGTCGAAGACAGTGCACGGAATTAGGTGCCCTAACACATAATTATAGACTACAGTTTCTTTTTCCACCTCCCGTGACTGCTTCATTCACGGAGAAAATTGTTAGTAACAAACAACAAGTCAGTACATACATTAAACGAATCGGTAATTTCCACATATTAAAATAAAATGATCAAAACTTATATGAATGTAACTTCAGGGACAAGACCAAGTAATCAACATCAATAAACATAAATGAAGCAAACATTACACCAAAAATGTCAACAATTACAAACAATAGCATAACGGTATCACACATGATTGCATTGCGGTTAAACCAAGTAAATTTCAAAAACAAATATTCAAACACACAAAAAATATAAAATGCGACAAACAAAACACAAATACGATATAATGAAATGCAAAAATTACTACCTGCATTAAATAACACTAAATAACAACAAACATTTATGGAGCGACGCGTTCACGACCGCCATTCAAGACAAGATGCCAAACCATAGAACAACAAACGTAACTCCCGTTCGTGCTTTCTAGGTGGCGCAGGCAGTTTATTTCCCACCTAGAAATTACATGGTTGCCAACTCTCCAAAAATGTATGTATCGTCGTAAGCTGTATATACAGGGTGGAACCTTTCAGTATTGCGCCTTACGTAGTTTTTTGCTTCATGTTAGGCCTATTTATATTTCTTGTGCACCAAATGAATCACAAACGTTTCTTCATGTACGACTGCTTGATAATGCGGTGATTACAGTCGCAATTAGTGGCCATAATTTGCAATATTATGGCCTAGTCCATAATGATAAAGTAAAACGACCGCCTGTCAATGTGACAGTCGTACTTAGGTGTCAATCCAAGGTAAATTCACAGCCGTCAATAATTACAAGCCGTGCTGAGAATTATGGCAACACTGCATGGTAGGCCGATTTCCTAATTCAACTTGACAGATTGTGAGTGTATTTCATATGTGTTTTGAGTGTAATATCCAATTTACCTGTTTTAACAGAGCGAAATTGCCACAATTTGTGTTACTCCCTACGGAATGAACAGAAATTATTATTCAGGTAAGTTGCTAAACGAAATATATCGATTTGTTGTCATAACCTCTAAAGCAGGCTACTCCCATCTTATATATATGGCTACTCCTTACTGGACCCTCTACAAGCACTTTTATTTGTTCAAAGTACCTGTACAAGCTCAAATATGACCTACACACTACCTGGTACGTAAGTACGCTAAGTGTTTATCCGCTTTATCGTGAAAAAATACAATTAGTTTGTATTTCAGGTATTCTAGCACGGACATGTCAAATCGATTTTCTGAAGGAACCTTTCAACTTATTCCCAAGAGTTCATGGTACGGGAATTTGAAGTCTACGGGGCTCCCCTCTTTAAAAGCTTCGCACCTAGACCCACTGGAGTAGCGACTGGCTTAAAGTCTGCCATTCCGAATCGCACCTGGTCGTTGATATAACCTCGCTGATGCGCAGCGATTTACTGTCCTTTTACCGAAATTAAGTGCTCAAGCTTGTGCTTCACTTCAGATCTCAATGGAAAACATATTATGATGCAGTTACCAATTTACAGCGTTCCGAATTTTAAAGTCAAATAAAAATGTTATTATCCATTTTTGTAAATAAATAATATATATGCAAAATTGTAAGCTGCCTAAGTATCTTTCTTCTATATTAAAACCGCCAAGGCGAAACACAGGAGAGAGGAAAATGCCATTTTTCAAGAGCAACAAGACGCCATTAAAACTTACATCGGCCCACCGATTGACTTTCGAACAACGTTGCCAAACTTCTCAGCATGGCTTGTAATTATAGACGGCTGTGGTAAATTCAAGTATTTTAGAAATACTTGACAAATGCTTGACATCTGTTGCCAATGATATATAGATTTTATCGTTTATTGAATTCCATGAAATTTTCATTTTAAAGGGTTGTTGCAGTCGTACATAAAGCTTTGTATATCGCGTCCATATTTATGGTTATAAATTCGATGCTTTTTTTGTTATATTGAATTCTGCCACGTCAGCCATGGACTTTACCATTGCACGTATATACTGTTGAGTTGCTGTCAAGTCACCTTTGGAATATTTGTTTACATAGGAAATCGTACCCAACTTGAACTTCTTGCACACTCATTTTTGATCGCCCGTTATGTTTCTATATACAACGGCTTTACCCCTGCAAATTGCAATATGAAGTCTCACACCCACTCGATCTGGGAATGGGACACCCTGTGTCTACAAGCATATAACCACCCCTGTATTGTATGTATACATTTTTACCAAAGCCGATTTTAAAAGACTATTATTGTTATTTAATGTAAATTATACGCTAAAATGTAACCAGCAAACAATTTCACTGAATATATCACAGATTCAAATATACGGACCACCCTAAAAATCTGTGGTACTGGTGAGTAGCGTTCACCGAGTTGTATATAAGTAAAAACTTATACACAACTCTGTGGTAGCGTTAGGAAATCGAAAAACTTTGAGGTTAGGTTATGTAGTTTGTAAATGTGCGGTCCGGTGTGTTCGTAAAGTGATTACAACTCGGAAAAGTTGGAATTGTAATAAGTTACTCATTTTGGAACTTTTATAACTGACCGATGGAATGTACAATATAGTTATCACAGCCAACTTAATACCATTTTAAACAAAAACGAAACAATGCAAAATAATTGCATAATTATCCTCCATTATCATTAATCCTCTCCCTGAGGTGAAGTGTTAATTATCGTCTGATGCACAGCTTCATTCCATGCGAAGCCTGACGACCCTTCTTATGCTTAAGCACTCTGCACTCTTTGCGACATTGAGCCTACAAAATAATTCTCAAGTCACAAACACCACTTTACAAAATTTAAACACTTACCGTTTCTACTCGCTCCTCTATGTCGTCTAATTTATTTTCAGATTCGGGTAATATATCCGAGTCATAATCATAGTCACTCTCGTTCGAGCTCTCGTTCCATGAATTATGCCTCGATCTGACAATTGGCGAATCCGTCTTTGTACCGCTTGAACTTGTGTCCACTACAATCCATTCGTTATCGTCTATTCTCACACTTTCTTCCCGAATTGCATCATTTGAACTAATTTGTTGACTCGTTTGTTGATTTATCGATGATCCCAGTAAGTAACTTGCTATTGTGCTAAGCATGATCATCAATGCCTAGTAGTAAAAACTATTTATTTGCAGTTTGTTCTCGCTTGATCACAAGTTCAGAACTGAACCCCTCCACTTCTATTTGGTCTGTTTATACCCAACCCAAGTATAACTTTTGCAACCATTTTACAATGTTGTGCAATTTTGTGTCATTGTTGTGTGTTATTAGTTTAAAATTGTGCAACTCTTACTCTCTTTCCTGGTCGAAGTATCTTCAATAATTGCATTATAAAAACTTATGATATCAGTGATGCAAATGATGTAAATAGTAGCTTTACATGACACTTAGTAAGCGCCATGATTCACGCAAGCAATCGTTCAAAATGATAACAAGGTGTCATTGTTCTTTGTTAATTTAATCTTGACTCATTTTGGCACTTGATTTGGTGAAAGTGAACAGGCATATTTATTCAGATAGTGCAAATTGTGTACTTGAAACCACAAGAGTGGTTTGTGCTGACGTCACAAACACTACCATAGTCTCAATTACAAATTGGGGTCGATTGAATGTAGAGAGACTTCAAATTTCCGCTTACGGCCTTAGGCTGTTTTCTTACGGAAATCATGATCCCGCGCATTTGATTGAAAACACAAGAAAAATCTAAAGAGATCAAAGAAATTCAAAGAACATAAATCGTAGACAATTAAAATAACACCGCGATCGCATTATGTCTCTCTTAAACCGTTTACGAACAATAAGCATTTCAATTTGTAAGTATATGTTCCAACGTCGGTTCCAACTGATATCCCCGAGAGGAAAAACTTTGTCATGGGAATGTAATTGGAAACGACTTACTCATTTTAACCAAGAAACATATTGCCTAATTACTTTTTGCAAGACCTCGTTACATTTGACTTTGACTCGTTACTTTGATGGTACATAAGATCGGTCAAATTGCGACACCCTGTACATGTTGTCAATGTTTTCTCTAAACGGCGAGTGAGTGCTCCCACGCCTCCAGTTCACACGTGTTTTTCATTGATTCATTCTCGCCTTCAAGTAAGGTGTAAAAATGTTCTTGCAATAGAATTAAAAATTAGCCCTCCTGAGAACATTTTAGAAAAACGTTTTTAATTGTATACATTTTCTTCAATTTTATTAAATTTAAAATACGCTTAGAATGTTTGTGTTATATGGGTATATATTTAAATAAAATAAATGACAATTTTATGCCATGTGTTTACCGAGTTTGTATAGGACCCAACAGATCCTTGCAATCATGTTTTTCGGCACCTGTTTGTCTGTGTACACCATAACTTTTGAATGGAAGGGCTCTTCAAGCTTGGTACTCAAAATTTAATGGGTTTTTCGAGAGGTTTTTACTTGGACCAAGAGTAAAACTAGTTAACTATTGGGTCCATCAAAATTGTTTACAAACCGCTACCACCTGTACACACAATTTGTAAATTACACCAGCGTCTCTAGTGAATCTGAATCGCGAATAGAAGTAATAATGAGTTATTGAACAACGCTGTATAAGCCTTAATTAATACTGCCGTATCTTATTTAATAGGAGGCCTTACACTATGGAAGAGGGGGACTGATTATATTCTATCAAGGGCAATGCTGCGCGTTGAAGTAAATTTTCGTGTGGCGGCCATATTCTTGGTGCTCAACAAACTGCGTTTTCCTTTTTGTTTAGTCATCAACTGTTTGACCAGTGGCGTACCTCCCCATTGTACTTATTGTATAATATAATGAATCAAAAAGTATGCATAATTGTATAGGTACCCAACGTTTCTGTTCATTTGTTGTGTCACATTTTATCCCTATTTCTTTCCTTTTCTAAGGTAATAAGTATATTATAAACTATGACCAAGAGAAAACAAGGTTAGGTAAGATTTATTTTTATTTTGTTAATAATACAGGTTCTCAAATCCCAACATATGTGACATTGTTACCGTAACAGGAGAGTAGAATGAATCATTCAAGTAAACAAAGAAACAAACAAAAAATCGTTTAAAATTCAATTACAAAAACACAAAAAAGACAAAGCTGTATTTAAATTTCAATTAAAATTCATTGTTTTTGAAGCGACAGGAATAAATCGACCTTACCATTTTGAGACCCCTTCTGCCGCTTGGTGAAAATAAATAAAATGCGAAATTCAACAAAAAGATTTATTATATCATTTAAAATTTTTTACAACATTTTTATTGATTTTTAATTTTTTATTTCCTTTTTTTCTTACTGCGAATGCATCATACCAAAGACTCAAGAGTTATAATTTAATTATTACTATTACCTTTTTTTTTCATACGAAATATAATTTGCATTTCAGATTATAATGACACACATTCATAGCATAAACATTATGAATAATAACAAGATGACAGAATAACACACTACTTACTCCATACATATTGCCACTTCTATTCTACATTGTGCAGTTTACAATCATCAAAACCTATACATTTCAAGCACATTTTTTCCCATTTTACAAAGTATATCTACAACAGTACACACGTCAACTCACATACATGCTCCCAATCAGATGACTACACATGCTACAAGAACGGTAAATTTATTCGTAATCGAACAAATTTCACCAGCCAAATACTCTAGACATATTCGGGCATTATTAATACCCAAACATATGCATGTAATACATTATTTACATTGTGTTTGTAATATAATTAAAATATGGTCAGTCGGACAGATTCTCGTGACATTATCACTTGATTATTATTACATCCGGAAATGAAAGACACTTATACAGGTAAAATTTAGACGAAACTGGCCATTTAAGAAATTGCTGAATTTTGTACTGCGAGACATACGTCAATGTCATGGACTTCGTAAAGTACGATTTAAGTGAATGCGTATAAATAAATAAAATTAACTAAGTTCGACAGCCACAATATTTGCGCCTCGCAAACGTTTGTGGTTTCTGAACCCTTTGCGGACTTACAAATATTACCTACGGTTCATAAATTAAAATGTAATTGTAATATGGAGCAAATGAGATACAACTACCAACAGTTAGTGTAATAAAAAAAGATGAACACTAGAATAGCAACAAAAATAACTTATATATCTTGATCTAAAAAATATACACCCATTTTTTTTTTATTTACAAATTGATTTTGTATCTCTCAAACAAGGCAATAACTGTAATGAAAGACGATACTTACAACTAAAATACTTTTTTTTTAATGCCTCAGCACTTCAGGGACTACTTGTGTTCTTAAATATTTTAATTTGAACACAACTCGGTGCTTTGGTAATTTTAATTACTAAATCACATGTGCTTTGATATCCAATATTGAGATTGCAATTGTTTCGAGCGGACTACTTTAATGAATCTGAGAGGTTAGCTTAAAAACTACAGCACTATTTCTTCGCTGGGTTTTCTTTTTAAAAGTCCGCTAATCACAACACGTACAAGCAAGTCTAACCTTTAAATATTAAGAAGGGGGGATTAACTAAGTATTTACATAATTTTGTCTGGCCCTCGAAAACGCGCAAACGTCACCACTATTAGCACAACATTACTGGCAGGCCTTTTTTTTTCAAAGTGAGCCGCTGTGAATTTGTCGACAGCTAACCAAAAACTTAAGCGCCTGCAATGCATAATGCAAGAAGGGGGGGAGGAGGGGGAGTGTTTAAAAATATTTCCCTCTTTAAAATAAAATAAATTAAGTCAAAATAATATATCACAGAAAAAAAATTGCGAAAATAACAAAGTTTGCGATTTTCAAGAGCCCCCTGGGATTTTGGTATTTATTAGTATTATTTTATTATTGTGTTTGAAAGTCCCAAGTGCTGAGTTGAGATCAGGTGTGTGCTCAGCACTTGCGATTATTATTGACATAAGAACGATTAGCACCCTGTGAACGTTCACTGCGCCTTTGATGCCTGTTTCTGGTATTTACTTCACGAGCCTTGTTCGCACGGTCCAGGTACTTGCGTTTTAATGATTGGCAGGCCTTGCGTAATTGTACCTGAAACAAGTTAAGATCAATTTAGAACTATCCTTCCAAATTATACTAGACTAGACAGCATGAGCCCAGACGCATATGTATTGAACCAAAACAAATACTTAAACATTACTTTTCCTTTTTGTTTATTTTATAATTATTGTAGCTGATAAAAGTATTAGATATTGTTGATTAATTGGCAAAACCACATACCTTAATCATATTCGTTAAATTTATAATATGCAGTATAATAAATTCTGATTCAGAAGATTGTGTTGTATATTTGTTTTGATCCATTACATATGTGTCTGCGCTAGTATATCTACTAAGGACTACATCACATTGTACAGGGTGAGTGAATATTCTGGATGGTTTAAAGGAAACAACCTATATTTGACTCCAAATTCTAATTCTATTTAAATATATTTAAAATCAGCAAAAAACTTACTTTCAAAGAAAACTCCAATTACAATTTAAATAAATCGAATTTACTTACATGCCTTTGCCTATTGTAAAAATTGCTTCTTAAATTTTGATCTGATTTCGTATAATTTAATTATTCTACCTAATATTTAAAAACTTATTTACAGGGTGTTTTCTAGGTATATTTAATAGGTCTAAAGTTACAAAATTTTATATTCATTTTTTTGTATATTTTAGAACACCCTAAATATTTTTGTATCATCCTTACGCAATAATCACTTATCTTCCATTAATAATATCCTACACTTATATCCAATAATTTTTTAAAAATCTGATATTCGTGATTATAAATATGAAATATAAATAAAAATAAATAATTATTTATTCAGCCAAATGCAACAAAGACATGTTCAAAAATATGCCTTTCTTGTGCAATACAGGACATTGTATAACGTAGCTGGTGTTATCGATTGACAGGCGTTTCTTATCATATCCTGTCTTGTTTATTAATTACATCCTATGTTCATAGATACAGTGTTGTTTATTTTCATTTGTTTTGCCTATGCGTCTTATTTATGTTAGGGTATCTTGGTTTGCAAAAATATTTCGAAAACCACCATTGCAGGAAGGTACAGGACATAATTAATGAAAGCTAAAGATTCTTGACAGAGTTAAAGGTTGACACAAAACGTATAGCGTGTTCCATAAAAAAAGATGACACTTTTTCGTTGGATTTACACATATTAGTGGAATTCTAATTTAGAACTAGATACAGGGTGTGCCCTTCAAAAACATGTAACTTTTCTCCCTACTTTGTAATCGCACCCTCTGTATAATATTTTTGACATATGCAGAATATTCTACCATATAATCATACAAAATCATTTCTTGTAACATTTAAATCAGAAACAGAATGACTATTCTGCCAGTTAACAGATAAGACAAAGAAAATTCACACAGCCCTTTTTTGCTACCTTGATTGTGAATCAGCGTTTCATGATTTGTACGCTATCAAATGTTGTAGAATAGAAACTCGATAGAATTATACAGGCTGTTAAAAATAAAATTTGAGTTGTTTCTAAAAGGTACGTTTTTTATGTTATCTTTTGACAACAATTTGATACATTACTGATACTGTGCATTATACAAACATTTCTATGCAAACACAGTAGAGAAAGATACAGAGCAGTGACCAAAGGATCAAGCTTGACTTTTGACATGTACAGGGTGTTTCGAAATTCGCGCACACGGACCATGGGGTGGTGTTATACGACAAAAACTGAACAAAAAGCTCCTCTACCAGTTTTCCATCAGACCCGAGATCAGACCGCTATTTTTTGAGCTACCGCGGTTTTAAAAATCTCCCCCCCCCCACGCTGCGCCACTGGCTAAACTTATTAAATAACACATCTTTAAAAACAAAAGAAGGTTCAAAATAAACTATAATTATGACGAGTACGTAATTACAACAGTTGTTCAAAATGTCCGCCGTCTGTTAGTAAACAAGCTTCAGCATGTTGAAAAAAAAAAGTGCAGGTCTGATCAAAAACTGGTAGAGGAACTTTTTATTCAGTTTTCGTTGTATAATACCATCCCACAGTCCGTGTGCGCGAATTTCAAAACACCCTGTATAACCCCAATGTTTAATTTGGCTACTTTTGGGTCGCTGACTTTAGACACAAAAAAGATTCGCACACAAGATTTTTCTCCTGATCTTATTAGGCTAATAACCAATACTGTGACATTAATTTTTCAGCTTCGAAAGACGTGAGTTAACCTCAGGGCACTCAAAAAACCTCGAAATTTTTTGAATCAAAAATCCCTAGAAAAATCCAAAAGATACATCCTACGGAAAAGTGAAACACACCTTTTTAAATTCCTTAGCATTTAAACACATTTTAACTCGACAAGATAACATAATAAATTATTTTTTCAAAAATATATCACACAACGGATAATAAAAGTTTAAAAAAGATTACAAAAAGGGTCTAATAATTAAAAAAAAATAATATGCTATCTTTTAGATCAAAATATACAAGGTGTTCCATAAAAAATTAGGTTGCGTTCAAAAACTTTTTTTCTGACCCTGTACACTTATTTTGAAAACGGCAAATTATTCAAGAATTACTACGAAACCTTGTTCTGTATCTTTTTTGAGTAAGAATATATAGGGCCAATCTGAAATTAACAATTTTTTATTTCCCCTGCATCTCTTAAGCGAGCAAATATTGTCAACATTTTAAGTTTGACCTAACAAGAGCGCATGAAGCTTATATCACTTTTTTGATAGCGATTTTTTAAGAAATGCCGAGGATGAAATAACAGCCCATAAGAGGAGCGGGAGTGGTCAAGGTTGCAGTTCAGTACTGCAAGATATTCGCTGGCCAATATTTGGTACACAGGGTGTCCCATTTTCAACACCTTTATCTCCGTGATTGTGAGCGCTCTCAAAAAAGTAATGTAGGCGGCATGTACTCTTTTTGGGTCAAATCAAAATTTGAAAGTATTCGCGGGGGAAAATAAAAAAATTCCCAATTCAGTATGACCCCATATTGTCTTAGGTAAAAGATACAGAAATATCGTTGTTGCAAAAGTCTTTTTATAATGATTGTTGAATAATATGCAGTTTTCAAAAGTAAGTAACTATAAAGTATGCGGGGTCAGGTAAAAAATGTATAGGACCTAACTTCATTTTTTTAAATCGAACACCCTGTATATTTGAACTGAAACAGATAGCATATTAAATTCTCTTTTCAAAAATGTAACAAAAGGGATGTTATTCGATAAGATTCAAAAAAATATAAAAAAATTAAAAAAGTACAAAAAGAGTTTTTCAGCAACAAACGTAGCTAGATTGACTCTTGTTTGTGGTATTAAAAGTTTCACAAAAAAGTGGCGCAGAGTCGACGAAAGTCGCAAGTATCTCTCTTTAAAAACAGCTGAGCAGCTGAGATACGCTGCAGTCTCAACAAAAATGAGACGGTATATCAAAAATTCAAATTTGCAATTCAAAAAATTTAAAAAAAATTGGGAAAGTATTCCTCAAGAAACCTGTATTGACTGGAAGAGGTCTTATGGAGTCTCTTAACGGTCTTTAAGTCCCTGTGAATGACTGAATGTAATGAATTCTGGAAACGAAATCTGAATGGTGACTGTATCTCTCACCTTTTGTGCTTGTTTGGTTTGTTTCCACTGCTTCTCCTGTTGCTGTAGAATATTTACACTGTTTCGGCGCGGTACATGTAGTTGCCTTTCCCTATACGTCTCCACCGCGAGCCTCTGAACCGGCACCGGTACCTGTTCGACAATTTCCTCCAACTCGTCCTCGTCGGAGAATTCGCTTTCGTTCGCGGCCTGTACCGCGACCGAATTATATCTCGGTCCGATCAGGGCCGAATGCGGATGTTGGTAGACGCTCATGCTGGGATGTTCGATTAGGAGATTTTCCAGCGGCGACGTCTCCATGTGTACTGGTCCCGCCGACGTGAAGCACGGTGGAGGTGTGACAAACCAGGAGTCCTCCATGGTCGCGCAGCGTAGAGACGAGGCCGAACTGCTGCGCGTCAAAATGTGAGGCAGTTGCTTATGACAGGAGTTAAGGTCGTCGTATCCATCCAAACTGTCGCTTACGCTCGATTCCACCTCCGAATTTCCCTCGCTATCCTGATCCACCAACACCCAATCATCGTCAGCTACAACCGAAGTCAGTCTTATATTTCTTTCCTCGACCCCGCCCGTAGGTTGTTGATTTGATGTTCCTAATAGATAGCTAGCCAAGGTGTTGAACATTTTCTGCAAACAAGAAATCTGAGTTACTATTTTTTTTATCGATCGCACTGTTCTGCATTTGTGTCACGCTATGTGCATAAATAGACGGCTGCTTTCGAAAGTAGAAAGGTGACAAGGACGTTTTTTGGACAATTTCGGTCTAGTTATGGACGACTGACATGCAACCGAGGCAGGTACGTTTTAAGCCTATTTTTTCATCGACTCGATACTTCCACAGTATGGACTGTGTTTACTTACTTAATGGCTTTTTTTCTAAAAATAGGCGGCCTACATTTTACTGCTTTGGACTTTCTAGGCGAAAATCTGAAGCGCTTTCGTTTGTAGCGAAAAGTTCGAGTACTGCGTAAAAATATCGATAAACTTGCTCGAAGAAAAAGTGAATGGGTGAAAGGTTATTTATCGAATAGTGGGAATCAATTGCGTTCAAATATTTTTATGAAAAGTATACACACACACACACACAAAGAGGTTTATGGTTTTCGTCATAGCTGTTACAAGATCTGACATTTAACGCGTACACGATTTTTACATCTGGATCTGTTTGTTTGGTGCATTTATGGCTTTTGGCTTACGGTCAATTTTGGTAGGAATGATCCGAGCTTAAATAAAATTAATGGGAAGCTAATTTTAAATTCCGTGGACTAATTATTTTATGTATACAGCGCACGCCAGAACATATTGCATACGTGCAATTGGTAATCCCTAAATTCTTTAATTAACCACTGTATTGCGTTTCTCCTTTAATTTTAGAAGGAAGAATTTTGGATTTCTTTTGCAAAATAAGAAAGATAAAAAAACTTGGTAAATCCGTTTGTGGCCTATTCCCTGTTATTGTTGCCTAATAAAAGTTGATAAAAAACATCACGTGATTAATGGACGACCCCTCAAAAATGGGGCAATATTAATACTTAGAAAACTTAATGAAATCTAGCATGCCGTGTCAGGATGCGCTGTGTCTGTTGTGTTACATGGATAGATCGTATCGCGCAAAACTTAATCTTCAAAACGAAACATACAGGTTGATGTGGGTCTTTTCCTCGGGTACACGGATTCTGTTACGACAATTTTGAAGTTTATGACAATTTAGATAATTTTGGAGGATCTCGACGTTCTGAAAATGCGGATGCTTTCGACAATTTTGAAAGTGTGGGAGGTTGAATCCTTGAATTCCTGAGCACCATTTCTGAAAATCCTGACTGAGATTGATAAAATTCTGAGTTATTTAAAGATTCAAAGTAATTACAAAGATTTGCGGATTATTAAGATTTTAAAATTTTACAAACTTTGATAACTCCGAGGCTTTGGGGGGTGCGGAAACATTTAAAGATTCCCAAAGTTCCCAAGTTTCCTAGGATTCTGAAGGTTCTTGACATATTAAAGGCTTGTCGCCATTAAAGGCATGCGTATGCAACATCTGAGATCAATTGGTTGTACGTTTTACTTTCAAAAACTGTATCTCAGGAAATAATTCATGGGGGGTCCTCTTAAGACAACAGAATTTGATGACCGTCTGGCAAACTTTCAAGCTATAAGCTACAACATGCAAACAATAGCACATTTTCTTTATTCTTACAAAATGCGCTAAAAAGATCCAGTAGGACCTGGATTTATTTGGGTGATGTTTTTATAGTGGTTTTGACAGGTCGCACTTGTATCTTGTGGTTGCAGGAGATATACAAAGAAAAAAACTTAAAACACAGTGAAATTATAACACCCTGTAGATCTACAACGAAGCGTTTGCCGACAATGAATTAGTCCCTTACGTATCTACAGGGTGAGTCAACGATTGCGTGGAGTAACAATGCGTTAAAGATAAGATTTTTCGATATAGTGCTTTTGTATTATATGGTTGAATATTCTCCACATTTTAAAAATATTTGGAATTATACAGGGTGCGCCCACAAAGTAGGGCGCCAAAATGGAAAATTATTTTAAATAGAACCCCCTGTATTTGAATGCATTTTTGAATTCTACGTGTAATTATACGTCTTTTTTATTATATGGTTAATATCCAAAAAACTAGTAGTTTTAAAGATAATTCGATTTGTAAAAAAAATTGGGCATTTGCAAGCGTCAGTATATTGTCAAAATTATTACTTAAATTTTCATTCCAAGTTTTATAGCTTTTATCCTGGGTTAAGTAAAAGTCAAATAAATACATCTACTGTACAACATTAAAAAAAATAGCTTACAGGGTGTTTTTTTGGTAGGTCCAAAGTTGCAAAACTTCATATTAAAAAATCTCACTTTTTAAATGGAACACCCTGTATGTTTTTTGTAATCTTTTAGCTCTTCCAAAAACCTTCAACTTTTGATAATAATGTTCTATACCTATCTCTGATGTTTCAAAATATCTCGGTTTTCCTGGTTTTTATATTCTAATCTTAAATAAGTTATATGTAATTTAGATAATAGTGAGATGGCCATGTACAATGTCTGAACCTAAATTTTGCCGTTTTTGACATTTTATTTTAAAAATGACGTAAATAAATAAACACCCTGTATATGGGTACATTGACATTGCCTAACATTTTCATGTAATGCCATTACAGTGTGCACATTTTAATTCTTTTGAAATTTTGTGTGTTAAGCGATGCTATGTTAGGACATGGTGGTGATGTGTAGCAAAATCACACTGTGCACATTTTAAATATTTGGAATTGTAAGTTAAGAGTCTTCTGTACCCACTGCACCCAATGTAAATTTCCATAAGAGCGCCCGCCATAAAAACTCTATTTGTTTTTACAAAAACAATTTTTTAAAGAACTATTTTATAAATTTAGACCGTTATCTACAAAATGTTCGGACTATTTTTTTTAAAAAGTTTATAGCAACTGAATACAGATTGTTTAAAAATTAGATGTTTCGCACCGATTATTGCGCTAATCTGTTTTATTTTTTTACTCTCGATCAAGACGATTTATGGAAAAAGTAAACCGACAGTTTTTTAGATAAGTTACTTCTAAATATGACCCCAAAAAATGAAATCATAATTTTTGAAAATAAAGTCTGTATCTTCGCGGGCGTTAAATCAACAATTTGAGTGTAACAAGTGGCGCCGCTGCACAGTCTCGGTGGGAACTAACTAAGGACCAAGACAGGAGTTGACAAAGCAAGAATATCATCTTATCTCTTGCAGCTATAATCATCTATACACTATAATGTAAAAAAGTTGCGCTTAGGTAAAGAAGACTCTTAACGCATGCCTACTTAACTTTGCTTTGTAAGTAGTTCGTTGTATAATCACAGTGTGCACATTTTAAGTCCCTTGAATGAAAGTCGGTGAATAAAAAATAAATTCAACGCTTGTGGCTTACGAGATGTTCCAAAACATGTTGAATATTTATTGCAAAATTACAATGTGTACCCTTTAAGTTTTCAGGACAGTATTTTATTAGCCAGTTTTGACTCGGCCATCAATAAGATCTTGTCAGGAGCTACCACATTCCCTTTGTCGGTACCCACTTCCAGCGTTCCGTTCAGGCAATTCGCATTTTGGTGTATTTCGCTACAAATAAATTTGCAAAAATGCGCTAAAAAGCAAAATAAATGAAAGAAAACAAAAAATCCATCGAAAAACAAAAAGAAAATGCAGAAAACAGAATAGTAACTAAGGCAAATAGTAAAAATGCAAAAGCATCTAAAGATGAACAGCCTAATAAAGCGTTAAATTCAATTGTCGGACATTTTTTGTTTTGAACATATTTAGTTCGTTCTTTTTGAATTCGGCAGTTCTGGCACCTGAGCCAAGAAAAATCTTGACAATTAATGTTGCGCATGCGCAGGCTGCGCAATATCAACTCTCTTATTTATCGAGATACCTTTTTGAAATTTTAATCACATATGCTTTTGTTAAAGGCAAACATATCTCATATTGTAAACATTAGATATACGCATGCGCAGTCTATGTGCATTCTTCCTTATTTATGAAGATATGTTTAGCGCATTTTTTAAGAATTAAAAATTGGTTTGTATAAACTATAACTTTCCCGTGCGACTCTTTTTCGAAATCAGTGAGCGACGGGGCCTGAGGGGGGGGGGGGGGTTTAAAACTTAATTTTATCGCTCATTGTATTCTCATTAAAGGTCTCAACGAAAGGAACCGTTTTCTACCAACTACTGCCCTTCTTTCTGTCCTCTTATCAAAGTACGGGGTAGGGGGGGGACTAGTTTTATCCTTCATGGTACTCTAATGAAAGGTCTCACCATACATGCTTTTAGTGAAGAAAAACATACCCATAGCATTTTGGGGAGTACTGACAAATACATGGAAAATGCGGCGCTAAAAATTACTTATTAGGGCGAAAACGTTTTAAGTTGTTTATTATTAATCTAGATCATTTATTTGGTTTATTATTATTGTTTTTATTTTAATTCGGTATTTTTTTTTCACATTTAAATCAAAAAAATGTAAAAAGAAAACTGTGTTTTGTTAATTACGAGTACTAAGTAGGTATATTGCAAAAATATACAATGCATAGAAAACTTGTTAAAAACAAGCCGAAATTACCAGCACAAATAGCCACTTCCGACGCCGCATTTGTCCACATATATGTTTTTATTTATTATCCCTCTCTTAGTTTTGGGCCCTCAACAGGCATGCGCCCGATTACAGAGTGACCCGCATAATGCTATTTAGAGGTGCCTCTGCAGAAGGTCTTAAGTTGGTCTATACTACTCTGGTATTTACCTTACGAATTAGGAAAACTGCAGGAAAACCTAATTCGGAGTAGCCGGTAGAATGCTCGGAACTGGACTAAGGTAATTTCCATCTCTGCCACAGATGAAAAATTCACCTCAACCCAGGTTCGAACACCCGACCTCCGGATTTATAACCCAACGCTCTTACCACTGAGCCATAAAGCCGGTTCCTTTTGCAATTTTTTTTTTATTATTAAAAAAATATGTAGGTAAAAATTTCAGAATTTACATACTTTTTTATAAATCACTTTAAAATCAATCTAACATAAAGATAGTTTTAATTTGTTTCTCATTTGGATATA